ACTTTAAAGAAAACCAGAATTTTTCGATTACTTCCGAAAATATACTTAAAAAACCGAAATTTGTCGATTACGTTATAATTTTTTTTAATAATAAAAGATACAAAAAATTTAAAAAAAACACTTTCTCATCGCCAGAAACCGTTGAGAGGTTTTCAATAAGGCGTTTGGTTTCAACAGGATAGCCTATTAGATAAATTTCCTGGAAAATGGAAAATACCGATAGGTATTATTAAGGCGTTGCGCGCGAGTGCACCATCCTGTTGAAATATTTAAAATACATTATTTCATTATTGGATTTTATACACTATATAATGTATGTCCATTTTCTAAAGAACTATGGGAATTGCACTAAGAAGAATACTAGAAGTGTTAGTGTGAACTACTAGACAGCTTGGTGAATTAGTGCGCATTGTACCAAATTACTGCAACCGTTTACCCTTCAAGATTTCAATAGTGATGACAATCACGTGTGCTTGTTCGGGATTGGAAAACACCCAGATTGAAAAAAAAACGCATCTGTTACAACCATTACTGTAAATTAAAGAATTTCATATACTTAGTTTAGTTGAAACTTACAAGAGCCTTCATTTGTAAATGATTGCTGTACCTTTCAAACGACAATTGATCAAATTACTACCAGTTCTGCTCATAATATTCTAATCTTTAATAATAAATTACACTAGTAGACGTACTGCAAATCCATATGTGATATGCAAAATGAAATATTTTACACCATAGAAATTAGTTTTTTGTTTTGGTTATTGACCGTACAAGTCTTTTGCTATCCAATATTGGGTTTTTCTTTTTATATAAGTATCAACGTATTGTAAATAAGCAGTTTTTAATACTTTCTTTTCTTCTATTCTCTTCTAACTTTCTATGGGGATCCAGAAGGTAAATATGTCTTTTTGTGTTGCATGCAGCTATAGACACTGCTTCAATTAACAATTTATCATTCAAGTATATTCATGTATCATAAAATCGTTAATTTAAATTAAGTACCTAAGTACATTTCACGTGAAAGATCAACATTTTCAAATTAGCATTAGGAATAAAAGTAACTGTAGTCACCATTACCAGGTGTGGGTTGTAAATCATGACCATAGTAAATTTTTTCATTTCCAATTTTATAATAACCTATTTCTTGATTCAGTAAGTATCACAATAATCTCTGCTGTTGTGCACATCAGGACAGAAGGGCATATGATTTTATTAGCTCGATGATTAAAATTATACAAAATGTGTAGGCGTATAAGCCAATTTTATATACGTCAAGTCATGTACATATGCCCCACAATTACTTACTAAAGGTTTATACACCCCTATGACCTGATACCCTCAATATCAATAGATGGACTCTAGTTTAGAATACAGTGACCATGCAGCCATATGCTCTAGGTCTGCCATTTTTATGCCAATTTTATAATTAAACTTGTGGCAAAATTACATACCTATATTGATTGCTGTAACTTGGCTGGTTTGGTTTGCTATGGTTAATTACTACCAATACTCCTAAAACTTAACTTGCTTACCAAAGTTTACTGCATATTTCCTAAAGCACAAGTAATTATGCACGCTTTACGCTATATCTTCCCACCGACGAATGGAGCAGCAACTAATGTGTGATTTTTGAAATATCGATTGGTATGAATTGAAAGCGACTGTAATGTTACACATTGTTTACACCTGAACATATCTCTCCATCATTCAGTTTAGTTATTAAGAACGTTGCAAATAATATTTATGGTTTGTTAATGTTTATAGGAGGCGAGCAATCCCCCAAAAGGCGGCCATCAGCTGAAAGCTACAGAACCGCAAAGAAAACCCACAAACTGGCTGTCACGCTGTACTTTGCTTTGACCAATTACGGTACATTAACGAACCATCACACAATCACAAGCTGGGACTTTTTTATACATAAATATATTTTTGATCAATATGTGACTAGCTTTAGAAACAGGTCAATTGTTCAGATGGTAAAAAAAATAAATGAACAATATTTGTAAGTGTGATATACTCATAGGATGGAAGATTCAAGTCCGGCACAGACTTTTTTTCTTGTGTACATCCTTGATATTAAACATGGCCTATACATTTTTCATATTTTATACTATGTACAACCATTATCAAGTCTAGTTGCATAAGGACAAAGAAGGGTGTACTAAAATCTTTCAAATCTGAATGTGAACACAGTTTTATTAAAGGACTAAATTTAGTATTGTTTTCCTTACTAATGTAAGAACGAATTTGCCATAGATGTGTTTATTTTTCAATTACCGCAAATTCAGTTGATATGACTATAGAAATGGCTGTATATATTAGTACATATTGTATTATTTAAATTGTGAAGAAGGCTTGTATGTATGTGATGGAGGGCAATTAAATTTTTTTATCGTTAACAGTTAATAAAATTTTATATAGGATTATATTACAATACATCAGCCGCACAAAGTTCTGTGCAGCTCGTATTATTTTAAAGACATAGATTTTTTATTTAAATTATTTAGATTTATTGAAAAATAAATTTTTTTATTTTATATTTTTTGTTTCTGTTTATATTGTGTTTATTTAGTTTTGCTAGATCACTACTCCTACTGGTTGTCATACTGCTCTTCTAATCTTGATCAATCTATATTTGGTTTTTTATGTTGCTATTGCAGCTTCAATTTTTATTTTTAAGATACTGTTAATATACCTTCATGTGATTTTGTCAATATTGAGTTAGTTGGTTGTTTGCTGGTTATCCTCGTATGATTTCATTCATTCCGTATTTTTCTATTGACATCTTATGTGTATATGGTCAGAACAAACGAATGTTTACGCCAAAATGTGATGAGTGCAAAATAGTCAGCATTTTATCGTCTATACTATACTGCACCTCTAGATGCAGTATGGGGTCTTATGGACTAAGTGCCTCTCTTACTAATTTGGGTCATTCTGCGATAACGCTATCCTTGCTCCTCACCGCAATGATGCCAAACTGACATATGGTTGAATTGAAGTATTAAAACACAATATATCTCCTTGGGCTGTCATTGTCACATTTGTTATTTGACAAGCATACACCTACCCTAAATCCTTTGTTTGGATTCTTCTATTGTCAATAAATGCAATACAAAATCTGTGCCATGCAAATAGTTTTCATGGGTCGATTCCTTTAGGAATATTAAAATAACTTGACACATTCCTAAAAATAACCGACCACTAGTTTATACAAATGAAAAAAAAATTGACAACTTACAGTAGGTCCATAATTGCAATTCTTCACACATACGCGAAAATCAGCTTAGAATGTCCACTCTCCCATTTCTTTCGCTATTTGAATCTCGCTTTCTTTTCTCAACGCAATGACCTCGACTGGCAACAAACCAATAGAAAACCCACATTTCGGCTTTTTCAGGCGACTTAAATGGAATGAATGCAACAAGGTCCGAAGAGATCGTGAGAACCGCGCTCGATTTCCCCCATACGTTTTTTGTTATCGGCAGACTTAGTTCAAGTTTACTCTAAAGTGGCACGTGGCAATATCCCTATTAACAAAATACAAATTAATAACTAAATTTTTGAAACGGCATAGCAACCACCCATTTACAAGGTACAATTGAATAAAGCATCAACTTCGATCGCAAACCTGGGAAGATATACTCAAATTTCAAAAAGGTCTTGATAAGCACAATGGTGATCTGGACTAATTTGTTGATGTGAAGCGTATTTACAGAGAAGAATTCAGCAACAGGTGGTATATAAGTAAAGAGAAATACTTTTAAGAGGTCGTGCCTCGCTTTCAAACAGGCTTGACGATTATTCAAAAATGCCAGTTGGAGACGAACCATCCTTATTCAAACCCGAACCACGGTTTGGTCACATATACCTATATGTATATTAAAACACTAGGAAACGCATCGAAGTAATCGTCAAACATGGTAAGTTAACACAATCACCTTCATAGAGCAATCATCCCTTCATTCGAAGTACTTTTCGAGCGTGGTAAGAAAAGTCTCTTCGTGCAAATAAGGTATATCTATGCGTAGACATTATAACACTAATACGCGCACGTTTAAGTGCAGGTGGAAACTATTCATTTATTGAAGTAAAGAGCAATTTTGGAAGAGCTTCTGTAAAAACATGGAAAGTACTTATTAAGAAGCTGCACTTCTAGGTTTTGCCACTACTGTGAGGGATTGGAAAGTGAACACTTAAATAGCCACATTCGTAAACGTGCAGTTATCAGTGTCATAAACTCTTGTAAATTTTAACTTTGAACATACAAATCTCCTTCGCGTCAGGAGACAACACAACCTCGAGCTAATTATTCGATGACTGCTGTTAAATTTGTGTAAGGTGGGTTGCATACCTGTCAGGTATATCAATGCATTGCCTTGTATATTTCAGAATTGAACTTAGGAGATATATGTATGTTGTTAAAATTTACGCACTGTATCTTCGAGAGTCGTCAAAAATCAAATCCCTATATATAATATGAACAGTTTTTGTAGAATGTGGAACAAATTTATAAAATCATTTATTATCAATAGGCTTCCATAAAATCAAATGCTAATTTATAAAAGAAAGATCCATGTTTAAATACTGTAGTGGTGTGCAATTATTTTGTTACGAGCTATTGCGCAGTTTACCAATGTCGCGCAAATCCAAACCATTTTCCCAACTTTCCTAAAAACATTCTTCTTTTCTTTTACCTCATTTAATTCTAACATAAAATTCACTAAGTAGTTTTTTTAGTTGAGTGAATCTGTCCTTTTCGAATACTGCAGACATGCTCCCTTTAGTTCTTAACAATAATTTCACTCCAGTTAATACTAACTATTATAGCTGTAAACGATAGGTACTTGAGTTTAATATGATTTATTTAAATTCTTTAGATCAAAGAAGAATTACCTCCATTGAATTTAATGGGCCCCTAAGTTGTGTTAATCCGGACCCCTCAAAATTGGCGCTCCTACCTCAGACTGTGAACTCGAAGTTAAAAATAGAAGACAACCTTAAAAATTAATGTATTCTATTGATACAAATATAATAATTACCTACACTTCGAACAAGAAACGTAAACGAATTGCTAATGTGTAAAAGTATCAAAATATGTCACTAAACTTATAGACATTCAGTTTTCACGGTTGCATTACTTGAGAAAACATCAAAATCCTGCAGCTCCAGCTTCATCTTGTAAACTTTATCTTGCCAGACAGGTACCAAAGGATCTCGAACAGGACCTACGTCAATTGGCGATAGTAGATTCATTGCTGATTTCAGTGTTGGAAGCATGTCACCTAAACAATCGACAAATTAGGTACATTTGTTAACCAATCTGACATCCAACCTTGCCTATATATACATTCCAAAATATTGTTTAACATGTTTTGGCATTTTTGAGCATCGTCGATTTTGCCACTCTTTAAATCGTTGTATATACTTTGGACTATGTGGGATACGAAATTGAGAGATGTTGCCATAATGGACGAAAACCCACTCGCGCAGGCGCCTAGTACTATCTAAAAAGATTATTCGATCAATTCATTACAAAATTGCCATTACTTCATCTGCACCAATGAAAACGGTAAACTTATTTGGATTTACTAGCAGAGACAGGGTGGCATCTTTTAAGTTATTGTCATTGTAAATAATACCAACAAATGAGTCGATTTCGCCTAATATGTCGCTTAGAAATTTGGCCATGTCAACTAAAATTTTACAGTTTTAAATTTGCATAATTCTGTTGAATCTAGCGTACTGTTGACACCGGTGTATGAGGGGTAATGGTGGTATAGCAGTGGAATGGTCGTCGCGCAATCGCTTACTAACTTGATATACCGCATCAAGTCGAAATGATCTTTCGGTTTGTTGTATAAGTCTGGTAATACAACAATGGCATCGACTTTTTTCCTTTCCGCATGCTTGACCTAAAGTTCAAGATAGAGACAAAACACTTAAACTAGGAAACAAACCATTTCTTGGACATCTTTAAACGCTGCACCTCCAATCTGAACCATTAGGAACTGTTTGGTTTTCTCACATATTTTCATCCATTCTTCTAACACTCGGATTCGTTCCGCGACGGTTAACGACATACCTTCACCAACCACATCGTTTACTGTGCAAAAAATCGCTTAGTGAGTAAATCAGGGATATATGGCACAACTTCACTTACATAAAATTCCTTTGACTCCACACGCTAGTAAATACTTTGCATAATTTGGTATAACCATGTAGTTAATATCGTTTTCCCTGAAACAATTACAGTGAGGTACATCATTTGCTTGTTCACTAATAACAATTAAAGTTGTATGACATTGGTTGTATCAAACGCCATAGTGTGGAGGAGCTCATTATATGAATCAAAAGGCGGTTAAGGCGATGAAATCAATGCGGTGTCAATCAAGAAATGACCTGGTGTGAGATAATCATAATGATTGCTTGGAGCAATGGGCATTCAGCTGCAAACGGGTTCAATGCGATGATGAAGCAGGGTGGAGAATTTTTCAATGATTAAGACATTATCCCTCACTCTGCATACTAAGAGTAGTAGAATCAAAATCTTTTTTGAAGGGAATGGCTGTAGGACCTATAAAAGCGTTATGGGAATATTTAAGTTTGTCGGAAACGATCAAATTCTGGCAATTTTTAATTACATCAAAACAATTTGAGACAGTCCAGAGAATCATGTTCAGTCTACCAGTTTAATGTTAATAATCTAGGTACACTTCACAACAAAGCAGGCCTACAATACTTCGCAAGCGTAACTTACCGATTTTTAAAGGGAGTGAACACAGAACATAATAATCCTCTGAATGTGAATTTTTTCTGTAACACAAATCATTCGATCACCAAATGATAGGAATAAACCCGGGATTTTACCTGTACTCTATATTGCGGTATCGTAGAATTCCGTATGTGCTTCCTACACGCCATATGCTTCTCTATTTCCGTTCGTCCACACTTATTATTATTCTTACAAAATTTACAATAAAAATAATGTCTGCCTAGAACACTTTCGGAAAGCCACGGTTTATACGCCGGCACCGTTTCCCATTCCTTACGATACTTTTGCGAATAAAACCTTTTCTTTGGATACCCCGAATCGAGCTTGATCTTTCTTTTTTTTGGATTTAATTTCACAGCCTCGTCGGGCTGTGAAGTATCGCTGCCATTCGAACCGTCTTCTAAGTCGAACGTTGGCGATGACTGATACTCATCTGTAAACAATTCTTTGATCGAATGGGGTTCTACTTGGGTTTCAACATCATCGTCTCGTACAAACACTTCTAACACACTCTCCATTTGTAGGATCAATTAATTGGGCGTTCGAAGGATAAGGGGTACCTACAAAACTCCGTTATTCATCAGCTAAAAACGCTTTCATAAAGATTGTTGCATTGCAAGTCTTCAATAACTAAATTTTTTAATTTGTTATTTATTATTTTATTTATAAGGTTATGAATGATTGTTTACTGTGCGCCTACAAATGGAACGGGTTGGTAATTTTCACATCCCACCGTTGCTTCAACTGTAGTGATATACAGAGTGCTACAATAACGTTTAGACCATAATTTACATTTTTAAAAAGGTGGCGGCACGTATAGAGAATCTTTGACCTTCACTGTGATTGGTTAAAACACGAGTCAGTATCACACTGAAAAATAAAATGAATAACGAATTTTGTAAGCTGGTAGTTTCTGCTCTTCTCAGGTTCCGATTCCGTTTCTTGAGGTGCAAGTGAATCTGGGCGAAGAAGGGTCAAGCGAAAGATAGGAAGAGAAGACGACCTGAAAACTCAAAATTTCAAATACACACGTACCGTATTGGATTTGGGCCTGGGGGGTTGCCACCCAGGGGTAACTAATTTTGTTATTTAATCCGGTGGCATTACGGTCCCATTTAAAATACTATTCACTATATTCATTTCCAAGAAACGTGTCGACATTTCAACTGAGTAAATTGCCGTTGCAACATAGTATTTAAAAAGTGTGGAATATAGTATGTAGCTATTTAGCATAAAATTATGGTTTGTTTAAACTAAAGCGAAATTCGTTTTTTTAATAGCAGTGAAGCACGGAATTACTTTTTTCTCCAACCACCTGAATAAGACGCTATTTTGTGACAGTGTTCGGTACGTAAAATTGACGTTTTGCGGATTAATCGCTTTCACCATGGCAACTGTACAAAAAGTGGATACTTTTGGTCCTAGTACCAAAAAGAAATTGACCTTGAAAGTTGGCCAATTAAAAAATTACAATCACGGAGATATGTCACATTGACATCGTTTTACATTGCAGGTTGTAAGATATTTCTATACATACAAATCAAATATTTTTGCAGATTCAATGCAAATAATGATGTTACCTATACGTATGTACATGTATTGAAAATGATTTACGCTCGCTATTTTTATTTAAACCATGTGTAACGTAATTTACATATTCCGTGAACGTAATTTTAATACGTATACAACCCGCCGTCGCGCGTAACGCCATCTACTTCAGACCCATTGCACTATTATCTGTCATTTTGAATTCAAAATTTGAAAAAGTTAATTGCAATTAATTTTAATTAAAAAACTGTATGGTAAGTTCTTTATTTCAATACAAAATATAACAATATTAATTGTGTATACAATAAAATGACTGAAACTGATAGCGACATGGATTGCACTCCGTCAGAGATTATAGAAACGGCAGAACATGCTACCTCAAGATTTGCTCCCTACAAAGTCGCGAGAGGTGAGAAGTAAGAGGTAAAAACGAATAGGTTATAAGTTAACCTAAAAAGTAGAGTGGCATGACACGTGAGGACAAGAAAGCAGAAGTTCTTATACTATAGTAGTGAAACTGTAACTGAATCTAAATTGGAATATAATTTGAAGTAAAGGGGGTTGGAGAAAAAATTTTATGTTTTATTCGTACAAAAAATGCGTTTTCGGGACTCGGAAGGTTGCTGGACTCCGCTAACGCGTCGTCCAGCAACTATCTTCCTCGTCCCGAAAACTGACATTTTTTGTACTAATGAAACAAATAACTATTTTCTCCAACCACCTGAATAAGACGCTATTTTGTGACAGTGTTCGGTACGTAAAATTGACGTTTTGCGGATTAATCGCTTTCACCATGGCAACTGTACAAAAAGTAGATACTTTTGGTCCTAGTACCAAAAAGAAATTGACCTTGAAAGTTGGCCAATTAAAAAATTACAATCACGGAGATATGTCACATTGACATCGTTTTACATTGCAGGTTGTAAGATATTTCTATACATACAAATCAAATATTTTTGCATATTCAATGCAAATAATGCTGTTACCTATACGTATGTACATGTATTGAAAATGATTTACGCTCGCTATTTTTATTTAAACCATGTGTAACGTAATTTACATATTCGGTGAACGTAATTTTAATACGTATACAACCCGCCGTCGCGCGTAACGCCATCTACTTCAGACCCATTGCACTATTATCTGTCATTTTGAATTCAAAATTTGAAAAAGTTAATTGCAATTAATTTTAATTAAAAAACTGTATGGTAAGTTTTTTATTTCAATACAAAATATAACAATATTAATTGTGTATACAATAGAAATGACTGAAACTGATAGCGACATGGATTGAACTCCGCCAGAGATTATAGAAACGGCAGAACATGCTACCTCAAGATTTGCTCCCTACAAAGTCGCGAGAGGTGAGAAGTAAGAAGTAAGAACGAATAGGTTATAAGTTAACCTAAAAACTAGAGTGGCATGACACGTGAGGACAAGAAAGCAGAAGTTCTTATACTAGTAGTGAAACTGTGACTGAATCTAAATTCGAATATAATTTGAAGTAAAGGGGGTTGGAGAAAAAATTTTATGTTTTATTCGTACAAAAAATGCGTTTTCGGGACTCGGAAGGTTGCTGGACTCCGCTAACGCGTCGTCCAGCAACTATCTTCCTCGTCCCGACAACTGACATTTTTTGTACTAATGAAACAAATAACTATTTTAGACGACACCTACAATATTTCATTGCCCTTTTGAAGAATAATATATTGTAGTGAACAAATTTCTTGTTCGCTGAATTAGCTTTAATAAGTTGATAGTTGATGCGGAGTGCAATATTAATGATTGCATCGCTCACCAGAAGGAGAACACGGATTAAGGTTTTTGATTTCTTTAACCACTACCAAACCTAAATAAACAATTATATTTAGTACTTAGTAGTATTTCTTCACATTTGAAGGCACAACTGTACTACAAAACGGGTTAAATGTTGTCCTGAAGCCAAAGTTAACAGGGGGTGGAAAATTAGCATGTAAAATCCTATGTTCATTCTTAAAAAAAACTCACTGTACAATATTGTGTTTATGATATTCAGTTACGATATTCCATATGTTTGAGACACTCTGTATAATACTACAGCAAAACATCAATGGTTGGCATACCTGCTGTTACGTTTTGTTTTTTTTTTACGTTTTTGAGGTTATATTAATTTTTAATTTAAATTTGGCTTAGAATTTTAAAGCAATAAATACCAATATCGGGAAATGTCTGCAATAGAAAGAGTTCGAATTATGGTTTTAGGCGACTCGGGTGTTGGTAAAACGTCTTTTGTGCATTTAATTGCACACAATGAACCCCTAAAATCGCCAAGTTGGACTGTAGGGTGCAATGTAGAAGTGAAGTTACACGAATACAAAGAGGGCACTCCGGAACAAACGACATACTTCGTCGAATACTGGGATGTTGGTGGAAGTCATAACCATCGAAATACCAGACACGTCTTCTATAATCCTTGCCACGGTGTAATTTTGGTGCACGATTTAACAAACCGGAAGTCGGAGGAGCATTTAAATAACTGGTTAGAAGAGCTGATTAATCAAGATATGGGTACATCGTTGAATAGTGTAGACGAATGGGATTCTGAAAATTTTTTCGGAACTATTCAATTACCGATTTTATTAATTGGAACAAAATTAGATCTGATAGATGATAAGAAGTTTGGTATTAAAACCAGTCGATTGGCAACTCAACTTGGAGCGGACGAAATTAGTTTAGACTGCCGTCAGGTGAGATATGTGGCTGCAGGTACATCAAATGCCGTTAAGTTAACAAGGTTTTATGATAAAGTTATTGAGAAGCGGTCGCAATGTAGAAACCATACAAAGTATTCCGAGAGGTTTGGTAATACTGTGTCTCCACTTTTATCGTCGAAGTTCTATTCTCCTACACATCAAGATTAAAATGGTAAGGGTAGGTATTGGATTGTATATCTTTTGATAATTTTCTGAGTATGAAGCAGTGTAATATTTCCAACTTTTCAATTTTATCATTCTGTGATTTCCAGTTCCAGTAGGTATTGCGATCACAAGATCATATTTTTGTGGACTCTTGTGTACCTATAGGTAGTATTTTTGGAATTTTTGTGTCTGATAAGAGTTCGGAATATTGAATATTGTTGCATGTTTTTGTATTATTTAATCTTATGTCTAAATAAAGATGTTTATAATTATAATTCTACCAAATGGCATCTGAATTGGTAATACAAATATAGAATCTCGATAATTCGAGCTAATTGGGGCTGGTGGTACCTGGGATTTCTAAAAACTTTTCGCCTGATAAGACTCCTTATCCCTTTTAAACCGTTTTTCAAGTACCGAAACATTATCAGATGTGTCTTATCTAAAATAAATTACAAAAGCCTTAAAATTTCCGCAATTACAAACAATTCTAAAACAAAAATTAGACACCGTGATAACAAATTCAAGTACAATAAACCAACTCTTAGCGCTTAGTTCGTAAATAATTTCCCAGATTTACACTTAATAAATACAAAATATTTTCATATACAGGATGTGCCGTCATTATTTTTGGTGGTTTTAGGCCGAAATAACGTCTACATGACGTTGTTTAAACACGCATATGTAATCTGTTAGTAACTTTTTGATGAGTCTCAATTGATGTAAATTCATTCGTTTTGCTTTCATGCCTATTTGCACAGTTAAAGTTGAAAACTGCTTATCGTTAAGTTGAAGATTTACAAATTGTTGCAACAATAATATTTCAAAATCGAGTGGACTAAATGATTACAGATCCACAAGAACACTTTCAATCCAAACTGTATAGCGGTAGCAATTGGAGTTTTATGTTGTAAAGACGTTTTTGCGGGCCTCAGTCGCTAGCTATATAGTTTTGCGGGGCCTTATGATAGTCATCTAAGCGCATACCATTTCTAGTTCTTCTTTTGAAATGGTTTCACAACGAGGAAACATATTGTCGAGATTGGAACATAATCGTAATAATTTATTGTTCTGTAGAAGAGATCTAATTGTAGTACCATAGTATAATACTATGGTAGTACTATACATGAGAATTCCGTACAAGGTTAAGACTGACTCTCGTATAATGTGTTTAATAAAAAACACCAAGCCAGAACAACAAAAAATAAAGTGAATTTGATATTGTAATCACTTGATAAACGGTAATGCTCTAAGCTCAATTTCCATTTTTTTCATTTGCTCTACGGGTACAGGCGTGACAGGTTCCCTTGTTTCACCAACTGGTACTGAAGACAATATTTGCATTGCCGCCTTCATACTAGGAACAAAAGGTCCTAAAAATATAGCATTAGGATCTTTTTGTAGGGTTCATGTTAGCTCACCATATTTATTGATGATATTAACAGCAGTATTTAAATCGGCTTGAGTCTCCTGTGCTTGTAACAGCTGTCCTTTCATAATGGACTTTAAAATTGTTTCGCCAAACTGTGGAAATATATTCTGCGTCGTTGCTATTCCAAGACTGAATCCTAATGTATATGCACCTGCCATTATCTGAATTTTATTGAATAAGTATAGGTAAACATTGCCAAATGATACTTACAGCATGTGCCCCTAAGAAGACACAATATTTTTCTTTGTCTGCTTTGACAGCGGCCAATCCTTCATCTAGAACAGTCGAGCTGAATTTTATACCACTGAATGTTGGAATACTGTTTCCAACTGAATTTAAAAACGTGCCCATGTGAACTGGAATTGCACAAAATTAGATGAAACGAAATAGTAGCTTGAAACTAACTATTCACATGTGTCATTCTTGGTATGTGATAGTATAATAGAGGTGTATTGGGTGCAGCTTTTGCCACCATTTTTAAGTAGCGAATAAGGTCGGCAATCGAGGTTGGTTTTTGAAATAGTTCTGGTAAACATAAAATCGAGTCTGCGCCAGTTTTTTCTGCGTGTGCAGCCTAGTGGTGGAGCTTTTTTATGTTGGGAAATGAAATTAATTAAGTTTTACCAGTGAGAGAACATCTGGTAGCGAAATTCCTCCAACTTGAACCATGAGATGCTGCTTTCTTGACTTACACTGTTCCATCCAAACTTCCGTTACTAGTTTCCGTTCTTTTGTGGTCATAGACGATCCTTCTCCAGTAGTTCCATTTACTGCACAATGCTAATCTTAAGTATATGGCACAAGTGACAACATCAACTTACCTAATATACCCTTTATGCCATTCTTCTGACAATAATCGGCATAGGAGGGAATCACATCCACATTTAAAGTCTTGTGTCTAAAATAAACGTGTCATTAGGCCTTCCAAAAACTAGTACTTACCTACACATCATTTTTGAATGGTGTAAAAACAGGCGCCATTAACCCCCGATATGTAAGCATGGTAGCCTAGAAAAAATACTCATTTTTCATAATTAGGCATACATTTTAAGAGGAATACAAGCGCGCGCAAGTGGTAAGTTTAAATTTTAGCTGCATATAATGTAATGTAAAAAAAATACACAACCGTTTTTCTATGACCCATTTTGATCCGACAAGTATAACGTGCTATATGTACTTAGGAGACTGTAATGATCCTTGGCATTGAGTAGGTACTATAGTTATTAATGCTGACGTAATTTAATTATAGAAACAAGTTATATTTAAACTGTGTATCAGTAGAGGGAGGTTGTGACTATGGGTTGTGATTAAAATAAACTAGTTGCTAGTTGTTCATTTCATACTATACGGCATGACACCGTACCGTTAACGAAACGTCGAATATTTTACGTTACCGGTACGGTGTCGGTATGCATCGCGCCTTTGGAATCATGAAGCAATTACTAAAGGGAAGGTAATAAGGTGGCAGACGCATTTAATATTTCTTGGCCAAAACATTGGCTAATATAATAGATCGAATGTGCAGTCTGATGTTGCAGAGCGAATATATAGGTACTTTATTATATCTACTTATTTGATAATTTATCTATGGTGCAGATAAATTTATTTAATGAACATTGTGTAACATTAATTTAATCGTAAGAATACAATTGCAGATTGGGATTTGTTAATCCGTTAATATAAAAAGTAAATGATCTACGAGAACAGTATGTCTTGCAAATGACATAACATATGGTAGGTAAAGTAAAAGAATAGTAAGAATGCCGCCATTTCTCTCAAATACACTTCACCAATTAAATATAATTACTATTATTGAATCATTATTGGATTAAATATTCCACTGAAATCCTAAAATTGAAGTCTATTAAATAAGTCAATTAGAATACATATATGTCCCATATGGCGGCTGAATGTCCGCTTTCTGTACGGTATAGAACTATAGGTACCGTATACAGGGTTTTTGAACAACTGCGGTAAAAGTATAGTACTATATTGTTAATTATCAGTTGTTTTAAGATAAAAGCAGTCGAATTCTTATACGGATACACACCTTTGAAACCAATTTCACCCCGTAGTACCTGTTTTCGGATGTGCCGATTCTGCATTTTTAAAAATTTTTCAAAAGTTGTTTTATGACAACGCGCCTCTAGGAGTTGCAAAATATTCCGATTTCCATTAAATTTGATACGAAGACAGTGTGATACCTAAGTTAGTGACTTTTGGAATTTCCCCCGGAATAACTTATAAATGCAACACTGCTCCCGTCAATTGTCTTTATTAATAGACGAAAATAAACGTTCAGTATTAAAATACGCGAATGACGGTACCCAGAATCCCATTATGTTACAAGTACATAATCTATGACGTTATTGGACGAGTCGAATTTATTGGCAGAGCGCGTGCGAGGCCAATAAAAAAGACGAGATAATAAAGTCTGATTATGTACGAGTAACATACTTAGCTATTATGTTCGACTCGATCATAATACGTAATAATAATAATAATAATAAACAGTGTCATAACTCAGCGTATTATGATCGAGTCGAACATAAAAATTAATTATTAACACAACAACAGAACAATTCAAAAAATGCAAAATAGATCGAAATGGTACTTTACATGTGCTATGCATTGCATAGAAAGAAACATGTTAGCGAAATATAAAACACTGCACTTTATTGAAAGTAGCTGACATTTCATCTTCATATACCTAGTTTTCGGCCGGGAAATGCAGACTGCACAGCACACTATTGCGTACGGGGGGACAATAAATAATTAAATACGGGTTTCAGGTTTCCCTTTCGATTGCACGTTATAACCCATTCTTTTTGCAGCAGGTACCTACTTACCTTTTGGAAAAGCGAATCTGCGGTCCATTTGCTTTTGATTTGTTGGAGCTGCGTATTGCATATACCGGGTGGTGCCTAGCGCGACGCAGCATAGGGATTTAAATGGTAATTTCTTTATAGTCTATTACTAGCTCCCCTAATTATTTTAGAGCAAAAGTCTAAATAAGTTTTTTTTAGAGAAAAAAATACTGAATCTGTTCATGCTATTACTCATAATTTTCAGTTTTTCAAAACCGTAGAAATCGACAAAATATAAAAAGGTCCATTTTACAATAAATCAAATATGCCTTGGAATTACCTAAAAAAACAGCGATCACGGTTCATGATTTGCCTTTGACGTATATTAAATGTATACTTGTTTATAAATTAGTTAAAGAACTGCAAGTGCAATAACGTTCAAAATGTCCGTCAAAACCATCAGCATACATTCTCTAAAAAAACATTACCCAATTGCCGCTTTTTCTTGCATCGAATAGTTGTAACAGAATTAAATATGAAAATCGTTCGACGTCAAACAACGATAACTTAGATGCGATGCGCTTGTAGTTTGTTATAAAAGATTCCAAAGCATCACTGATTTATAAAAATATAATTTTTTATTTTATCGATTTCTACGGTTTTGAAAAATGGAAAATTATAACTAAAAGTATGAACAGATGCAGTATTTTTTTCTCTAAAAAAACTTATTTAGACTTTTGCTCTAAAATAATTAGGGGGGCTAGTAATTGACTATAAAGAAATTACCATTGAAATCCCTATGCCTGCGTTGCGCTAGGCACCACCCTGTATAGCAACGCTACAAAGCTTTCCACCTGGCATTTAGGTATATATAATAGCGTACCTGTATATTGAACTATAATAATATACTACTTGTCTTCAGCACTAGGTATCTGACAATAATTAAGTACCTACTTACACAGTTGATGTTGACAGCTAATCAGGGACGTAACAAGTCACGTGCGGGCTCTGCGGAGTAACCTAATTACAATTTAATTGATGACGTCATCAATCAAATCAAATGTCAATAGTTAAAAATCGTTCCAATTTTTAATTAATTTATCTAAATCAAAGTCCAAATTCCAAGAAATTCCCGGAAATAACCAAATTATCCCCCGAAAACACTCTCGATTTAATTGACCTTGATTGACCCCGCGAATAAAATCCATGATGGCCGCCAAGGTGAAGATCTTCTACCCACGCGCCGCCTACGCCGTGAAATAATAAACCTGGAAAATAATTGACGGTGTTTTCTAACGTTACTGCATCACTGTAAGAAGCAGCAAAGCCCAGTGCTGACAGAACATTGAGAAGTTAACAGAATATGTATACAACAATAACCACAAATCACATACAAAAACCAAATTCTTTAAAAAATCCTCTCCTCAAGTCTTTTTTCCTATAACTTAATTGTCTATTCACTATGGGATGTAGAGACATTTTAAACATACACTTCCAAATTTGATAAATATATACCTCCTGAAAGCAAACAACCTCCTGAATTTTAAAGACAGCGGAAAAAAGTAAATTTCATCTGCTGATTAAGCATAATTTTTTGCGTAAAAAACCACAACCGAAACCAAGGCAAAGCTCGATAAATATACCTACTATGAGACTCTGCACTATCCATTTCAATGATTAAAAAGTGGTTTACTGACTTCCGTTGTGGTCGAACCGACACAATTAAATGACGTCGAGCGTTCGGGTCGCCCAAAAGAGGTCCTCGCACCAGAAATTGAATGATATTGGACGTTCGGAGAATAAATACGTGTGGCGTGTTTCGTTCAGGTTTTACATGGAAACTTCTGTGCGCGAAGATGAAGAGATAGAACAGCAGCATGTACCTATACAGAGAGCCAGAAAGCGCGTTAACAGGAATTAAGGACGAAGAAAATTTAATTATCACAGGAAACTGGAACGCAATCGTAGAAGAAATAGGGAAAACAACATTAGTATAGGACCTGACGGTTTAGGAAACAGAAATTAGAGGAAGGACTAGTTAATGCAATTTTACGCTAAGCATAGGTACTTTAGATTCGCTAAAATGAACCCATGGCTTAACAAGCATAAGCCAAAAGGGTCAGAGAGGAAATTTTAGAAGGCATGGACGAAAGGAGAATATATAAAAAAAAGTATCAAGTCAGCATGGTATAGAAGCATTGAATTTATATACAGGGTGACAATTTGAAAACTTACCACCCCTCATATCTTAGTAAATAAACGAGATATTTAAAAAAATCAAAATCCGTTTCGGTAATTCGGAGGGGGAATCACAATGACATAGTTGGCGACGCACCCCCTCCAACCCCCTGCGCCCCAGCCACCCCAACTTTTAAATCTTAAATAGTGACCCCCATGTGTGATACGTCGTTGGAAAGCTCTGAAAAAATGCTTTCCAACCATACCAAATAGCATTACATTTAGGTTAGTAATTATCGTGCAAATCAAAAAATAAACATGGAAAATCGTATTTAACTTGAACTTCCAAAGCCGACTCGACAGCAACTCATTTTTGATCGCCAGTTATAATCTATTCTCAAACTCTTGTCGAACCTTTTCAAATGTTGGTTTTGCAATATTTCGACATTCTTGAATTATTCTCTGTCTTAGTTCGTCTATGTTCGCCGGTTGCGTTTTAAATACGACAGATTTCAAATGTATCATATTAGTTTATTTTTTGATTTGCACGATAATTACTAACCTAAATGTAATGCTATTTGGTATGGTTGGAAAGCATTTTTTCAGAGCTTTCCAAAGACGTATCACACATGGGGGGTCACTATTTAAGATTTAAAAGTTGGGGTGGCTGGGGCGCAGGGGGTTGGAGGGGGTACGTCGCCAACTATGTCATTGTGATTCCCCCTCCAAATTACCGAAACGGATTTTGATTTTTTTAAATATCTCGTTTATTTACTAAGATATGGGGGGTGGTAAGTTTTCAAATTGTCACCCTGTATAAATTCAATGGTATAGGGATAAATATAAAGAATTAAAAAACAAAATAAATAGGGAAAGTAGGTGCGCAAAAGAACAGTGGCTCGAGGGGAAATGCTAAGTAATAGAGACTGAGTTCAATACAGCGCCACATTGATGATTGTCTTTAATTTTTCGATTTTCTGTTAAGTACATTTTCATTGATTATACCTCTTGTATGTGCTCGTGTTCAGAGATTACAATAAAATAAGTATCAAATTTTCAAATGTGTAGTAGAATCGAATAAGTAATTATAGGTATACTTATTCAATGGTAGTATAGTCAACAAATGCTATTTAATGCGATCTAAAATGGTTTTGATGTAGTCTATTTAAAAGAATACATAGGGCAATGACGTGCATGCATTCGTTTAAAAGAATATTTAGGACGAGGAGGACCTTGTATATACACCAATGATTTGATATTTTCTAACATACGCTGTATATTTATCAACAAACGACACGGTGAACATAACCTCTCTTTCAAAAGTTGTAAGTACCATATTTATATGAGAATTTTGTAATCTTCAAAAACTAAAAAGAATGTGAAATTATAGTTATTAAGTAAGGTATTATATCTGTAATGGAAATTGGCGTTCGTTTTCCATCCTACCATTTACTTATGCATCACTTGGAGGAATTTACCAAGGAAACACAATGCAAATTTTGGAAAAGAGATGCGAGGACTATTGGTGCTGCTAGAAGTTTAGGTGTAACGAAGCATTTAAATCCAGATCTAATATATTTTGAATTAAAATTCTCTTGTGTTTATGGGGGAGTGGATTTTAAAACGAAAGGAAGAAATATTCGTCCTAGACAGCCGTCAGTAACATTTATTGCTGTAGATTATCAAATAGTAATTGTAGTTTACGATGATGATAGATGTAGATTTAGTCCTTTTAGATTGTCTTGGTAAATTACAGCGGGCTTGATTACATTAAACGAATAGTTTGTTTCTTTTTCAGTAATAGAACCATTTCGTTACAGAAGCCTAAAAACAAACGGGTGCCCCGTATTTTTGCGGTTTAAGGCATCAGAGGACGGTGAAGCTCTTCAGTTGGTTGCGAAAAATCTGAATCATAATCACGAATTGAAGTTAGTAAGTTGATTATTTAGCAATAAAATTTCCACTTTCGTGTACGTCAATATAGAATATCAATATTGTGTCGGGATTTCCACTTAGGCCTTTTCTTTGTAGCCAACGAAAAAGAAGGTGACATCAGAATTCGAACTGAGCGAATCGGAAACGAAAAGATCTAAATGGGAGAACATGAACGACACCGAGAGAGACACATATGATCAAGACGACGATGACCTTAAAGAAGTAAATATACAGTCACACTTTTATTATTTATCAGTTTTATGTGTTATTAAGTTACAAAAATAGATAATAATTTATGTGTAACAATTGATAACCTTATCATAATTTACTTTTCGCTTATAAATAACAGTTCTTGTCTCCAATTGCATTAACTCACCCAGCAACATTATGGTTAGTTGTATTTGAATGGCTTTGTTCGGTAGTGTTTGATTAATGTTTTGATTTTCTTTTCTAGGAAATTGTAAAATATGAAGGCTTGATAGCACCAGTTTATACACCTTTTAATAATGATCCGTAAGTATTATATTTTAATTAACTATTCATAAAATGGAATCATTGAACACATATTGTTTGTAAAGATAGCATGAAAATTTCCCTTACTTATTATAGATAGAATGGTTAAGTTAGTTATTCGAGACAACAGGGGTGTATTGCAATGGATTCAAAAATACCCTAAAAATAAAAATGCATTTTTTTCTACCTATATCTGGAAATTAAAAAAAATTAAAACTAAGTATGATTGACATTCCTATTGGGAAAATACTGGGGCCCCACCACATAACAATATTTTCATTAGCACTGTACCATGTCCCAATAAATCAGACATTAATAAGTATATTCATTGGAAATTATTAACATGAGAGTGAGCGAGAACGGACTGGTTGGCACAGGGTCGATTTTTAGTAGAAATGTGTCTTCTTTTAAGACAATCGGTTACGCTGTTTGTGTGAAACCATCAACATCGCTATTGGGTTTCTTACATTGCCTGGTTTTTTAGGACTTTCTACAGGTTTGCCCGATTTAAAAAATGTGAAATAGAACGAATAAGATTATAAATAATTTGCTTTTTTTTTCTTCGTAAACCCGATGGCATTTTTGCGTTATACAACTTTTGGCGCAGAATATCGCAAGTTATGCTTTTATAATTATTCGTCATGAAACTAACGCAATTTTATCGGCGAATGTAGCAAAACGCAATAAAATAATGAAAACTGTAGTAATAAGTTGTCAAACTTGACGTGTCGCAATGTAAACGTTAACAAAGACAATTTTGATTGACGAAATCTGAAAACAAAAAAAATCCCTTTTCATTAAAGGTTTTTAGCTTTATTTTTTTTAAATAACGCACAACTCTACATCAAGAACCTATATTTTGTGAAATACCTTGTGAAATACATTGATCAGTCTAACATAAACACGTAATTCCAAGGTTTATTGTGGTTTAAAATGATTTTTTTATTTTGCTAATAAGTTGGCATTACAATATTCCTGAAAAACAGAATTGGTGACGTGCTCGTGAACTAAGGAAAATCCTACTTTAGCACCGTTATGGAATTAGAGCGCATGCTGCGCCTACTTGATTTCCTATAACTGCGACCCATAGAAATTACCGGTATATTTTGTCCGTACGACTTTTAATAATTGCTTGTTTTTTTAGCACAAGATCTTTAAATTTGGAAATTCTTCCGTCATATGCTCAATATTTGATTGATAATGGTATAACAGGCATCTTAAGTAAGAAAACATTGGAATGTTATTCAAAATCATTAAATTATCCTCTTATAGTTAACGGAACGGCGGGCGAGGGAACAGTAATGACAGTCGAAGAAAGAAAATTGGTTGCAGAAGTTTGGGCACAACTTTGCTCTCAAGGGCAGTTGCATTTGATGGTTCATGTCGGAGGAGTTCCTCTACCTGACGTTCTTGAGCTGGTATATACCTTCCAGTTTTATTTTATTGTAAGATTATTTCTTTAGGCGCAACATGCAGAACACATCGGGGCAAATTCTATATTGTGTCTACCCGAATTATTTCATAAACCGGCAACTTGCGACGATCTTATAAGATACTTGCAACTTGTTTCACAGGCTGCACCTAATACACCACTATTTTATTACCACATTCCAAGCTATAGTGGCGTTAACTGTGTGTATTACTTTAAGTCATATGTCTTATTATTCTCATGTTCCTTTTAGTACACATGGGCGAGTTTTTAAATAAGGTCCAAGGCTCTATACCAACATTGAGCGGAATAAAGTTTACATCAACTGTGTTGGATGAAGGATATGCTGCACTTAAAGCATGTAACGAGAGATTTACTGTGTTTTTGGGTTCAGACACGGTTTGTATTTACCGAATGTTTTTTGCACTTCATTTTCTAATTAACAAATGCAGGTAATGGCAGGTGCATATGCCTTAGGCTTTGAGTCTGCGATCGCAACCACACTAAACATGTTACCCCAATTTGGACAGCAGATCGTTCAATGTATCAAAGATGGAAATATAAAGGAAGCGCAGGAAAAACAGAACGATCTAAATTCAGCATTAGAAATTATTGCAAAACATGGTAGGTATACTCGGTTTTACAAAATGATTACTTTAATTTTGCGTATACGCAGGAGCGTGGGTACCATCCACGAAGATGGCTATGAATTTGTTGTCACCAATAGATGTGGGCCCTACTAGGGAACCAATAAAAACGTTAACCGCGGAAGAAGCCAAACAAATGGAAAATGAATTGACAAGTTTAAGTTTTATAACATCGTAAGTTAGGTACATAACGACGAAGTAGCGGGTAGCTGAGAGCTTAACTACTATACTGCTTGTGTTGAATAAAGTTAATGTAATAAATTGTAGTTTGATACCCTTTAATTCGTCACATTTCACTTCCACCTCTTTATCTCTACCACAAATGCGGCGTTAGCATACAGAAATGAGGATTGACAACTGCAGATGGTTATGTACTTTTCAAGTTGAGACTAGACTAGTATAACCTTTGTATGTTGGGTAATTTTGCAGGTGCTCATTTCTATAGTCAATCTCATCTTGACTATAGTACAAGCACAACAACGATGCCAAATGTCATCTCATCAGAATATGATTTGAAGAAAATGGGCGTGCATCTACACCATTTCCAATTGCGGTTTAAAAAAATCACATTTATTTTCAAATCTATCATTTGAATGGAGTACCTATAGCATTGAATGTCTATAGTATCACAGCATGGAACAGATGACTGTAGGCAACCAACATTACACGCGACAAACTGTAAATACTGTGTTTCAACCTTATAATAATAAACCGATACAACGAAATATCGAAGGATCCTCAGTATTACAATCACTTTTAACGATAATTAATTTTAATCTTACAAAATATATCAAATTCATGTCTTGGGCATTGAGATAATGCTCTCAATCTTGTTCCAAATGATCTTTGTGCATAAATAACGATTTTGACATGTTTTGAGCATTGAGATAATGCTCTTGGTCTTTTTCCCAACGATCTTGGTGCATAAATAACGATTTTGACATGTTTTGATCAAAATCCATGTGGTCGCCAAAAATAGATCAAATTCATGTTTTGATCATTGAGAAATTCAATGATAATGCTCTTGGTCTTTTTCCCAACGTTCTTGGTGCATAAATAACGATTTTGACATGTTTTGATCAAAATTCATGGGGTCGCCAAAAATAGGACAAATTCATATTTTGGTCATTGAGATAATGCTCTTGGTCTTTTCCCAACGATCTTGGTGCATAAATAACGATTTTGACATGTTTTGATCAAAATCCATGTGGCATCATAAAAATAATTTAACATCTTTGAATCACACACATGCGGTTATCAAATGTGCACGTGATGTACTCTTTCAGCATCAAGATAATGCGTTTGAAACCTTTTAAAACTCTAAATTCACTGTATAAAGTATAATTTTGGCTACATTTTGCTCTAAAACTTTCGACCTATACCACAGAGAAGTTATATTGAATTGTTACACATCTAAGAGTCATAGGGGAGTCATCATTGACATGTCCGAACTCGATACATGACCTAGGGAATGAAATATTTTGATTTCTATTATATTGAGCCCGCAGTTTTTCCTGTTCCCGATTCACTCGAAGTCCTATATCTTTTGTTCCTGTTGAACCAGGTTCCTGAAAATCAATAGCGTCGATCCATAATGTCCAAAGTACCCGTACACCAAATTTCAACACAATCAGCCACTTTTAAAAAGAGTTAAGAGCGCACACGGACGGACGGACGACAATACAAAACTATAAAGGACCTGAGGATCCTTAATAATAATAATGCCTTTATTAAATTGGCGAAAGAAGAAAAATACAGTTTAATGGTGAAATGGGGCGAAGTTCAGTTCCACAGTAAAATACCGTAGTCTGCTCTACCACTTAAGCCTGTACATTACATGTATACTACAAATAGTTCAAAATTGTGTGACTTCAATTACATAGGGTTACTACAATACTACTCTAAACATTGAACGTTAAGCCCCTTTTCATAAGCGAATAAAGTTTGTTTTTGAACCGAGCACTTGTAAATGTTTTACGATGTCTGGTACCTCATTATAGATTTTTACAATATAATAAGAAAATCCTCTTTTGAAATATTGGGAATTATCGTTTGGCAATGATGTGACGTCATCAAATCAATGACGTGCAACGTTTTTTATACCGAAAACCGTATATAAAGATTTTATTAATGATAATATAAAAAAAATAAAATCTTTAATAGGGAGGTTACATTTTTTGTATTTTTTTATGCTATAATTGAGAGATTTTGTTATTAAAAACGGATCAAAAAAAATTTGAGAGCAAAATATTGATATTTACTTCCGCTGTAAGCATTTTAAAATCAAGGGTCAGCGGGTAGAGAAAAAACGTACCTGTGCGCGAGACTAGACCGCGTGACGTCAGTAGCCAACACATTTGCCGCCGCACTGGCAGAATATACGAATTCACGTAAACTGGGACCGTTTCGTTTATTGTATTTATTTGTCCACAATATGGTGCAAGGTTATCAAAAAGCTGATTCGTGACATTTAGTTTTTAAATTTGCATTAGCCGATAACTCCATTTCCACATTAACATTGGGTAAATTTCGCGAATCAGCTTTTTTTTATACCATGGCAGCAATATGCACACAACAAATAAAATAAACACATCGGTTCCAGTTTAAGTGAAATCGTATAATCTGCCGACGCGGCGGCAAATGTGTTTCCTACTGACGTCACGCGATGTATAGTATAGTCTCGCGCACAGGTACTTTTTCATGCTTCCCGCCGACCCCTGATTTGAAATGCTTACAGTGGACGCAATCTATATTTTGCGCCCAAATTTTTTTTGATCGTTTTTTAACAACAAAATCTCTCCACTTCAGTTAAAATAAAAAAATGTCAAACTTGCCTATTATTTGGAATATATTATTAATACAAACAATGATAACATAACCCTTGACAATTACTTACCAGTTATTGACCTCATCAGGTGTTTTTGATCAAATAACTTATATATGCATAAATTTAAAAAATGTATATAAATACTTTAATACTCTAATATAAAAATACCACCCTCACCAAATGGTTAACAGTTATAAAACATTTAAAAATGTATAAATAATAAATAAATATAAAGTTAACAAAAAATTATCAGATCAAATTTCCTCCTAATATAATTAAAATGCTTTGGTTTAACATTGCAGTATATCATAAAGAATACTTTCGAGCACCGGGGAAGTACAGAATTATTACCTCTTAATTGGTATCACTTTTAGTATTGATTTGTTCTTGAACACTATCAGTCAATTCTTTTCCTTTAGTCTCAATGGGTAAAATGATACAGGCTACAGCAGCTAAAATTGCCGAGACTGCGTAAACAGTTGTAGCAAATGGAATCGAAGTTTTTAGCAGCACCTTAAATAATTACATACTTGTTTTAGTGTTATACAGTGTATTCCAATTCTGAAACATTCTTTTTTCAGTATTAAAGTGGTGGAAAGAGAAAGGTAAGTTGAGTGGAGTACCCTGTATATTTTTGAACACACAATTTAAATTCTAAACTAAAGCAATAACAGAGTTACAGAACAAATTTTTTATCCAAAATTTCTTTTTCTTTTAAAATATGTAAAAATATATTGGGTGTTATTTTGTTGATAATCTGATTGTTTTTCTGATTTCAGATTCACCTAAGCAAAAAATGCTCTACCTCTGGTAATTTAACAGAGGTCGCGGCGCCCAGGATAATCCAGTTAGTAAGTAACCACCTCAATTGGAATGCACTGTATAAAAACATACCTGTGCAACATAAGGAGTAATCATGGCCCCTAATCGTGCCATTGCACTACAAGATCCAACGCCCACTGCACGTAAAGATGTTGGATAAACTTCAGGGGTATAGACGTACGCAGCTTGAAATACACCCGCTATAATACCTCGTGCCAGAAATAGCATTACAGTTAGATATGCACGTCTAAAATGGCACACGTGAGAAATTTCAAAATTAGTCTTTATGCATACTTTTCGGTGCAGATAATTAGAAAAGAGGAACAAATTGCGTAAACAACAAATTGTACCGCCATTGTTTTTTTACGACCAAATTTTTCTATTATGAAAATAGTAGCAAAAATCCCGGGAAATTCAGCTAAAGTTGTCCAAAGTAAATCCATATAATCGGTTGTTTGTAACTGCTTGCATTCTGCTGCACAAGTTTCGAAGCTCTCATTCCTTACTGTGTCCCGTTGGCAATTGCCTGAAGTCTGAAATAGCTCAGTTGTCATCAATACTAGACCATAGTAACAAAATGCGCATGCCATCCTATAATTATTGGTGGTCAAATTAAATGACTAAACATAGTACACGAACCAAATAAACCACAGCAATAAGGATGTTGTTCTTAATGATGGCACAAGCAAATCTCGAAACCGTCCACGGTGAGGGGAATGTCCATGTGCATCGTCTACTACTAGACGCCCTAGGAGCATTGGTTTTTTATTATCTTTTGCAATCTTTTCCAATGTGACTAGAGCTTTTTCGGTTTGCCCACTTGCAACATGATATCTTGCAGATTCTGGCAACCACTAAATCACAATTTTACGTTTTACAATTTACATATTGATATATACTTACTGGGCAAACTAAAGCAAATACAAGTAATGGTGCTGTGGACAGCGCAAGTAACCACCTCCATCCTAAAGTTGGCATCACCACCAAAGCCAGTGCAACTTCGGAGCATGCCCCCAGTGCCCAAAAACACTGTAATAACGAACTCTTAGTTTAAAATATCCACGTGTTCAACCATTTGCAAATTAAGAAACATTAAAAAACTCACATCAAGCAAAACAACACACTTTGCTCTTTGCTTGGTGGGTAAAAATTCTGCATAAAGAGTTACACTAAAAATAAAAAATAAAATAGACTACAGAACTGGCACTGTTACCGTTTTTAAATACATAGTGAATAATTACACTTACGACTGTGGTGTACAACCAATAGCAAACCCCACCAATCCCCGAAGCAGTAAAATCCACATAAAACTTGGTGCAATTGCGCTTAGTAAACCGTAATAGAACAGCAAGATTGCACACAGTGTTAACGCCTGAAACGTAAATAAGTAATCTTGACTTAGTTATTTTGATCAACCTCACATGCTTCCGACCATATCTGTCACTTAGATTCCCCCAAAACGTTGACGATAACATCATCCCCAGAAAAACCACTGTGGTCGTCAATGCTTGCTGGTATCTTAAAATCACATATAAAATCTTTGTAATACTTATAACAGTACACTCACCGAGTAATGTGCCAATGGCATTGTAAAGCAGGAGATAATATTGACAAAATAGTCATCTCCATACTGTCGGCCATCCAGCACAATCCAGTCCATAGCGATAGCTTAACTTGAAACCAACCAAAGCCTAATGCGTTAACAGCTTGTGTAACCGTAAACGTGTCTGTAACATAAAAAAATTAACAACCTTCGAACATATTTGGACGTGTCCTACCATCAGGCACAACTGAAACAGAAGCCATTTCGATTTCCGGTGTAACTCCGAGATCTGGATCGGGAAGTTCTGTTCTACTTCCATCGCTTGGTGACTGTTCGTCGATATCTTGGTAACCTCGTACCCTTCTCAACACCATTTTATAATACTGTTATAATACGTATATGTTTAGTAATAACTGTCAACTTCCTTTACATTATTATGGTTTATTTTTGTGGAAGACAACTAGTCTTCAGGTGGACGTGGAAATAAACAGAAACATAACCTACAAATTTTTCGTGAATAACCAACACCAGTGGCGTGCCATTAATGTCTGCATAGGGACTACAAATTTAAATTTACACAGACCTAGATGCTCCATCTTACATGGAACCCTGACGTGGATCAGCTAAAATTGAGAAGTGTTCAATTTTAGAATTGTGAATTCATATTTCAATATGTCTAAACGTGCAGTGTTAGGAATTCCTATTTCAATTTAATATGTGAAAGAAGATAATCGGACGTTGCAAGCCTTCTCGTGAACCAGTTCATTTCAAAAAGATGGGTTTTATGTTACACAGTTTCAATACCCAAACATTTTCATAACGCAATGGATTAAGACATATGATTGGTTGAAATTTGACGTTTTATCAAATTTCAACCAATTTTTTAGTTAGACCATACACTGGTTAATTCCAAGCGAGGTTTAAACTGCCTTTGTACAACGGGCCCTAAGTCGTGCTGGATATATTGATTTGAGCTCCACTCACGTGCTGGGAAAATCGTGGTCAAATAAGGGTTGAAGTAGTTATAGTAGAAGACAGAAAATTAAATTAATTAAACTGTTGGCAATCCGGTTTGTGAAAGGAGTCATTTTCGTTCACTTGGCTTTGATTAATTGAATTAAATAATCTATTCTCTTATTAGTAAAATTGGGCTAATTTCAACTATTTATAAGCGAATTTAAACTTTGCTCAGATATACTTAGATTTTAGTGTACCCCTTTCTAGCTACGACACTGTAATATCTACCATAGAGTACTTGAAGTACAGAAAAACAACTATCTACTCCTTGAATGCTTCTGGAGTTTTGCCAATGGTTTTGCAACTGACTATCCAGCTGATTTGTGTCATTAGATTATAATAAAAAATGCAATAATGAAATTAAAACGTAATTTTCTTACCAAACATTTAAATTAAAAGTTTTAAAATAAAGCTGACGTACCGGAAGGCCTTGAAACTAATTGTCAAGCCAGGTAGAGTACCAGTAAAATGTGTAGTGCAGGGAAAGTAGCAAGTGTTATTGATTTATGTGCTAATACATTATTAATGTTTTTTATGCAGTTAATGTTTGATGTTGCACATTCGTTATAGGATGTCAATAAATCAAACGCCGTCCTCCGGAAAATCGTTTAAAGTGAAACGTAACTCGATGGCACGACCGCAAAGTACCATCGAAGAGGTGTACAGCAGTTTAAGAAGTGATCTCGATGATTCTTTAAATCCTGCATATCGTTTACGGTTACATAATTTATTTAGACAAATTGAGAAAGAATTTGAAATATTATACCAAGAAAATCAAAGCTGTAAGTACTTACATTGTAACGCGAATTTCACCTTTCACCTCTCATTTCATAGTGCACGAGAAAGTGGAATTATTGAATGAAAAAGTTGAACGTGAAGGGTATGATAAACAGAATTTCGATTGTGTCGACTTTGATAATAACATTGCTAAAGTGTTAAGTAAAAAATGTAAGTCAATTGCAGATTGATTGTAAGGATTTCATCAAAATTGTATTTTTTTTTGGACAGTAAGCAACACATCGACGCAGAAGTTAAAGACGGCAAATAAACTTAAAGCTCAAACAAGTAAGATAGTGTCCAGTTTTAAAGCTCCTCATCTAAATTGCTCGATCATAAGAGAATATGTGGGACACAAAGATGGGATCTGGGAGGTATCGGTGGCCCGTCTTGGACAACCAATTATTGGAACGGCATCAGCAGGTACAATCTCATTTAGTATATTATTGTTTTTAGAAAGGTTGAAGGTTAAAGTTTAATTACCTACTGTTATTGTTTATCGTGGGATCCATTCGAGTCTGTATTTAATTCAGTTCAAATATCATGCACTTGAATGTTAAAATTAAGTCTTTCATTCATTTAAGTAATATGGAGTCTGGAAAATTATATACAGCGCTTCCGATGGTTAGCATTGCGATCCAGCTTTTATACTTTTCAGTAGTAGACACTGGAAACAATTGATAGATGCAAAAGAATGCACATCTAACAATATTTTCATGGCTCACTACTAAAACGGTTAAAAATGAAAAGAAAAGAACATTGCATTATTAAAATTTTCCACAAAGTAACCTTTTTTTTTTTAAACGAAGCATCCTGTATGTTTTTGAAAGAAAATGAAATTCTGAATATAAAAGCACACCTCCTATCCTGATTTAATAAACCAAGTACAAACTACTACACTTTGTAAGTCAATTAGTGCCGAGATTAGTGCATATTTAATTCAATAAAAAAACATAGAACAAATGGGAATCTACATATTCCAATGTGAGTTGCAATGTATGTGCAACAAAAGCATACTTAATGATGAAATAAAATTGTTTTAAGCATAAAATGACCACTATAAATTACCAATAATTTACAGAATGTTCCAATGGTTCATCGAATTTACAAATAATTTACTTAAATTAGTTTAGTGAATTTAGCTCAGAGATATGGTAATATGCTGATTCACTAGCCAAATCAAAGAATCTGAGTGAGCATTATAAAATGTTAAAGTGAATAAAATTATCTTCAGTAAAAAAGTCGTTGACGAAGGAGCTATTTGATGTTTCATTATTTTAATGTTGGGGGGCTAACTTCACGTGGGTATATAACGAGACTGTATTGGAAAATTTCGATTCAGATCGTTGTCTCTGGGTATGGAGTTTAATATTTCAGGATTGATTATTCTCATTGAACTGCCTTCAATGTATAATCGTTTAAAATTGAATGCAATTCTTAGGTAATAGCAGGTAATATTGACGTCTAAGCCAGAAAAAGTCACTGTGGGACTTCAAATTCCCGTCAAACATCTGCACTTACTTTTTAATTTGGGTTTCATGTCGTCTTCGGTGACTTCGCCGCCTCGCCTCGCTCAGATTAAATATTTGTTCATGGCTCGGATTCGCCTCGCCGTATTAATTCATTCAGTCACATTTTCAAAAGTGGAGTATTTTAAAATGATATCTTAAGCACTGTAAATTGTAATTGAAAGTAAAGCCATAACCCCCACTCGTTAAAGTAACACATCGTTTACGCGAGGTAGTCAGATCTTTTAATTTTGGTCACATTTAAAAAAAAAGAGGATTATATTAATTAAGTGGTAACGTTAATTTTGAACAGGAATTATTATTTCACTCACAATTTGTAACATAAATAAATCAAGCCCGTCAATGTTGGAACTAACTCGAAAAACAATTCGATTTGCTTATACAGTGTGTCCCAAATCGGGTGGGATTGCATGGGTAACTTTGTTATTATTAAAGATAGAGAATTGGTTAAATGGGCAATGTTTGGCAGTTTTGGATGCTTATTTAAATTTCCTTATGGAAATTCAAAATGTCGCATAGGTTCGACGTAAATTCAAAAAAACTAAAATTGGTCATTTCCTTGAATGTCCTATATCATCGACAGTATAAGAGATATAAAAAAAGTTTTATATAAAAGTGACTGTCTTTGATACGCTTAATTTAGAATTGATGTAAAAAAAATTCAAGATGGCCACTTTTGAGGAACATTTACCAACTTCCTAAAGTTAAATGGGCGCCATATTGGATTTTTATATTACTTGATAGATTTTTAAATTCTCTTTTCAACGAGTTATTATAACATAAGATTGAAAATAAGATACCAGTTATATTAACGGTTTTTGTATTTTAATCAAGTAGTCTGTGACGAATAAAAAAAAACAAAACAAAATCTTTTCGAGGCAACAAAACAATGAAAATAATTACACCAGATGTTTAAAATACTGGCCATTATTAGTGAAACACACTTCAAGACAGTTTAGTTTAGGCAACGTGTTGCCATTGATGATTATTATTATTATTGTAGTGGTAGCTACTTCCACTTTACTTTTATTTTTTAATTAAGTACTTACTTTTATAATTTAATGTACTGTACATAATTCGTGAATTGTGACCTGAGCAGCCAGTTTGTTGGTAGGTAGCATAAACTAAGCCTTCCTTCGAAACATACGTTGTCAAGAAAAATCCTTTAAGGAAGTTTATTGGAGAATTTGTAAATAATGGTGAGCAGTTAAAGATCCATCGAAAATTCCCGGTGCAATTACATGACTTCCCATTATGCCATAAAATACATTAATTAAAAAAAATATTACTTGATTTCGGCGTGAAACTAAAACATGTAGGTTTTCCTGTGACGAGTAGTGTTCATAATGTCGATTTGAACACTTAGAAAAATAAGATTCATCTGTCCATATACTCGGACTGGTAAAACTGTTAGTTTCGATATTCTTGCGGATAAACCACCAACTGACCTACAAAATGTGACCTGGGACAATGCATCAATGGTAATACATTGTGTAAAATAAAGCAAAGTGTCTTGAAATGTGTTTAACTGGATAATGGCATGACATTTTTTCGAGGGGATAGTTTGTAGTTATACCACCATTTGTAAGTGTATGGATAATAAGTCAATAAGTGATGTTATAAAAATCAAATTTTTCTAGACCTAATGCTTATATAAAATTTTGGAGGGAGTTGTAATGCACAAACCCCCCCTCTCATGAGTGCGTCCCTGATTTTTTTTAAACATCTGATGTAATTATTTTCATTGTTTTGTTGCCTCGAATAGATTTTGTTTTGTTTTTTTTAATTCATCACAGCCTACTTAATTAAAATATAAAAACCGTTGATATAACTGGTACCTTATTTTCAATCTTATGTTATGATGGCTGGTTGAAAAGAGAATTAAAAAATCTATCACGTAATCTAAAAATCCCATATGGCGCCTATTTAACTTTAGGAAGTTGGTAAATGTTCCTCAAAAGTAGCCATCTTGAATTTTTTTTTGACATCAATTCTAAATTAAACGCATCAAAGACAGTAACTTTTATATAAAACTTTTTTTTATATCTCTTATACTTTCGATGTTATAAGACATTCAAGGAAATGACCAATTTTAGTTTTTTTGAATTTACGTCGAACCTATGCGACATTTTGAATTTCCAGAAGGAAATTTTAAATAAGCATCTAGAACTGTAAAACATTGCCCATTTAACCAATTCTCTATCCTTAATAATAACAAAGTTACCCATGCAATCCCACCCGATCTGGGACACACTGTATAGCAAATAACATTCTTTCTAGAAATGGAGTGCTCAAGGGCGCTTCAGAATGTTCTCGAACAAACACACCATATTTCTAGGAAAGGTTACGTTATATCCACTTCGTTCTTTACCGCCGATGATTTAATCTTTCATGACGCCTCGCTGTCTATCGAAATTTTCTGTACATTGACTGTATTCCAGGTCTCCTTTATGAGATATAGATAGACATATGGCAACTCATGTGCGAGATTATATGTGTATAGTGTGTCCTATTTTGATTTAGACTGCAGTGTAAGTTTGACTTTTTGGGATGTTACTTATGTAAGATAGAAAGAAGGTAAAATTGTCTATTTTAGATATTTTTTCTTAGAATCCAGTGGCGCAGTAAAAAAATTTTGGGCCACCTTTTCTGAGCTTTGACCCAAAGTTGCTATTTTTTAAATGCAAAATCTTGTATATTTTAACGTCAATTTTGTTTGCATTCATTTTCCTGAGTACATTCATGTACCCTCGGATGTACCTCAACCTATATTTCCTTAATACAATTATATATTAAATTATAGCATATTTTGACTTGTTTCTACCGTCAGCCATTTTTATTGATCGGTATCAGCTGCCTTAATTACCTAGGATATCTTAAACAAAACAAAATCTCCGTGAATCCATGGCCTACTATTATATAAGTTGCGATATATGCATGTAATCAGTAAAATGAATTCAAAAATTAACGTAAGATATACAGGGTGGTGTGTTAAAAAAAATCAACTTTGGGTCAAATCTCAGAAAGAGTGGTCCATATTTTGACTTGTTTCTACCGTCAGCCATTTTTATTTTATCAGCGCCTTAATTACCAGGATATCTTAAACAAAACAAAATCTCCGTGAATCCATGGCCTACTATTATATAAGTTGCGATATATGCATGTAATCAGTAAAATGAATTCAAAAATTAACGTAAGATATACAGGGTGGTGTGTTAAAAAAAATCAACTTTGGGTCAAATCTCAGAAAGAGTGGTCCAAAAATTGTTTGACTATGCCACGGGATGCTACGTAAAAATATTTAAAATAGTCAGTTTTTATCCTTTTACCACCCGCACGACACCTTGACGGAAATATCATATTTCATACCATATCATATACAGGGTGATTCCTATAGTACCTGCCACCGTTTGGGAGCGTGTAGGTGGTGCGTAGGGGAGTATTTTGATATAGGACACTGGGGGTCGGAAATCTAAAATAAGGGTGCCAGAGCCAAATTTACCTTCTGGAATTTCGCGCCTGTAGGTAGGCAACCCAACCGGCCGGCGGTGCACACGGAGCGATCTCAGTGGCTGCTGATCAGAATAAACCCACGAATCCCGTCTGCAACGACGCGTATCTGACACTTGGCACGTTTTACTAACACGGAATACGCGGACATGCACTTCATGTACGGATTGGCAAATGGTAACGCACGAGCTGCACGACGAGCGTACGCTGAGCGGTATCCAAACCGTCAGTTACCCTGCAGACAGGTCTTTCAAGTTCACTTCCGACTGTGCGAGACAGGGCAATTGCAGGTAAGCTGACGGAGGCTTAACTTTACACACGATTCGTGATGCACATCGATACTTGGGTCATTTAAGCACCCATTTCGAAAAGTTTGTTTGTTTACACCGACCTCCTCCTATTTCGCAGCCCACTAGCGCCCGTGATCGCGATCGCCCGTTGGTAAATGCCTTAGAGGAGGATGTGTTGGAACGTTTCGAGGCAAACCCGCGTACTAGCATTCCGTGTTAGTAAAACGTGCCATAGTGTTTATTCACTTGATACGCGTCGTTGCAGACGGGATTTCGTGGGTTTAAACAAAATTCTGATCAAGTGTCAGCCACACATCGCCGCCTGAGATCGCTCCGTGTGCACCGCCGGCCGGTTGGGTTGCCTACCTACAGGCGCGAAATTCCAGAAGGTAAATTTGGCTCTGGCACCCTTATTTTAGATTTCCGACCCCAAGTGTCCTATATCAAAATACTCCCCTACGCACCACCTACACGCTCCCAAACGGTGGCAGGTACTATAGGAATCACCCTGTATTTGTAAAAGAAATTACAATAAAAATTATTTACACGTCAATAATAAAAATAATAATAAAAATACGTTTTGAAGCACCAAGAATCAGAATTAAACGATATCTCGATGCTGTCGATCAGTCTGTCTGTTTGTCTGTACCGGCTAAACGGATGAACCGATTTCAACAAAATTTAGTACACATATTTTTAAGACAAAAAAGGATGCGTTCCAGAGCGGAAACGGCAAATAATTAGGCGACGAACAGAGGAAAACAGACACCCTCTAAACTGTAAGACGGTGTATATAAAAAAAAACTTAACTTTGGTCAAACTCACGGTGTGAAATATTGCTTTTACCTTCTATTTCCAACTCCTAAAGAGATACATTGGCCCAGAAGCTACAGTTTCTCATAAAGAAGCGCCAGGTTGAGTTCATCTATATACCAGGTGTTCATTAATGCTGGTATAATTCGTATACGAGAACGGGTGCTTCGTTACAATGAAAAATAGCCTATGATTATTTAAAGAATAATGAATTATTAAACTGATCACTAAAATTAAATTGGCCTTCTCGAAAATACTATTTTTTGTTTAACCATATATAATTTTTTTTATTTTTTATTTTTTTTATTTTGCCTTTATTTTTAAGTGGGCGGGGTTTCAGCCGAGGCTGCTCTACCAACCCAACCCACTATCCATTTACAAATATCCATGCCCGAACCCGGATTCGAACCAGGGACCCTGTACCGCAGTCGAGCTTCCACTGAACTGCGCTACACGGGCCAATGATTTTTAATCATATAGAAACGCACTATGGCACTCATTAAACATCATTTTCGAGAGTGTTCTATTGCACTGAAAAACTTTTATAATAATAATGAACATTCTGTATACCTACATTGTTTGGACAATTTTTGAAAAATGACCCACAAGTATTTTTAAACATTAATTTTATCACTTTAATTACATTTTTAGAAAAATGGAAATGACATTTCGTGTTTACTTAATGACGATATTCTTTTTTAGATCACAGTGCTTGTATCTGGAGTGTGGATAGTGGTCGATGTTTACTCCAATACCACGGCCATAATGGCTCTGTAAACTCGGTACGTTTTCATCCTATTAAGGACATGGTGTTAACATCTAGTGGAGATTGCTCCGCCCATATTTGGCAAGCCGTAGTTAGTTGGGACCTTCCAGTAAGTATTACGACTCTGGGTACATCCCCTAGTTTAAAATCTTAACAGAAAGGCCACTCGTCGGAGGAGGAACTGGAATTAGGGGAGGAATGTGAAGATCAACGTGCAGATGCCAAAGCGGCTACTTTAAGAACGCCAGTGTGCGAACTGGGCGGGCATACAAACGCAATATCTGCGGCAGAATGGTTATCAGGTAACAAAAATCTTAGTTTTATTTGGTGTAACTTGTGGATGTAGGGGCGGATCAGGTTATAACAGCAGGTTGGGATCGACTAGCTGTTTTACATGATGTCGAATCAGGTGCCACAATTACGACTTTGACGGGTCACGATCTGGAACTCACTCACACAGCTACTCATCCTACCCAAAGATTAGCCGTTACTTCATCGCGGGATAGCACATTTCGTTTATGGGATTTCAGAGAGAGTGTACAATCAGTATCTGTCTTTCAAGGACATTCTGAGTAAGTATGGTGATAACCTTTTCGTTTATATAATATCATATGTAAAGATACGAACTACATCAAATCGAAATCAGTGTATGATGATTTATCTGTAGTATATTTATACGTGTGATGATCTTACCATAGGAGTGTCACTTCTGCCGTTTTCACACATGAAGACAAAGTTGTATCTGGTTCTGATGACAGAACCGTTAAAGTGTGGGATCTGCGTAACATGCGGTCACCTGTCGCCACTATTCGAGCAGATTCTGCCATCAACCGACTTTCTGTGTCATCTAATGGTGTTATAGCGATACCTCATGACAATAGGCATATAAGGCTATTCGATTTAAATGGACAGAGGTTAGCTCGCCTGCCGAGATCGAGTAGGCAAGGCGGTCAAGGTCATAATCGTATGGTATCTTGTGTAGCGTGGTCTAACGACCATCTAAATCATGTAAATTTGTTCACTTGTGGATTTGATAGGCGAGTTCTAGGTTGGTCCGTGCAATCTCTTAAAGATTTATAAAATTCTCATGTTGTCATTGTAAAATAGGTGTAAGTGGAACATAGTAGAATTTTAGCTTCCATTTAGATTAATTATCTGTGTTGTGATAAAATTTATTTGTAGAGAAATATATATTATATTTTTTTTGTCATTTGCCATGTGGGCAATAAAAAGAACATTGATTAATACATCAGTAAATGACTACATAAAGTTTTCATTGCAATAATTGTGTATTATACCTACATCTAACAGTATCATAGCAAGATGACCACTGTTGGGTTAAGTTACACAATGAATCCAGTTTTAGTGGAAGGTTGGTCTTAAAAAATGCGTCATTCACTTTAAATGTTGTAATGTCATGAATCGGTCAGTTTGAGTTGAAAATATATTCACACTCTGTACAAGTACAATATGAAGTCTATTGTCTAAGCAGAAACACTCATAATAAAATGATGATTGTATGTATAATAATACATTGTTACTGTTTTTAACGTATACCTGCAATAAATGAATTGTTGAAAGTCTATAATTTTGTGTTTTTCTGGTAAAATTTTATGTACCTACCTACACTATACAGCGAACATAATTCCCATTAGTTCTAATACAAGTATAATTTTACTTTTACATACCTATTTTTTAAAAAGTGATGTTAAGTTAATAAATATTTTAGATGGATATTGTTTTTCATTATTCGGCATTGCCAATTAAACTTTGCATCTGTGTAGTTCCAATATCTCGGTCACACAAGGATCGAAACTTTTACCTCATTCTATACGTTGATTACATTATTATACCCGGCAAGGCCATGAATCATCTAAATGAATTGAAAAGTCAAATTTGACATGCATAATCAACCCAACCCCAAATTGTAACCCAGTAAAGACACTGATGCGATGGTAAAGGATGAGGTAAAGAGATTCAAAATTGAAAATTCCAAAAGCACTCAAACAAAACCAGTGCGCGAATTGATCAGTTGTCTTATGTATACTGCTGCTATCTTAATTAAGATGGACAAGGGTGGTCTCCTTTTTATGTAATTAACTTTTGTAATTCAACTTTATTAATTTGTCGTTGGTCTATGTAACGGCATGGGGATTATTTGTGTTATACGAGAAAGGGGTCAAGGTTGTTTTTGTTTATATTTTTATTTTATTTAACATACAAATTTCTGGGAATTTTGTTTGGTCTTTATCTGTTATCAATTGTAAATGCTTAATTTAATTGACAGGTGGATTTGATTTATCCCCCTTCCTGTGTAGTTAAGAGAGGTGAAATTTTATTTTTCCTAGAAATTAGATTTATCTCTTAATGTCTGATAACACATTGATTTATAAAAATTATTCGACCTCTATTTACTGTGTGATTGGTTGTTATATATAATTTTGATTCTCGGAGAAAGGTTTCGCCGTAAATAGAACGTGAAGAAGGAAAGCGTCGCTTTTAGCCAGAGTTTACGCCGTACTACGTTTCATTGAAAATTTAAATTAGCTTTTAGCCACAATCAGAGCAGAGTTACGTTTCTTTGAAGATTTGAAATCGGCTTTACGCCAAGTTTAGTCCCAATTTCTCAGATTTTTGGTACGTCAGCACCGAGTTACGTTTCGTAGATGAATTTATATTTCACTTTTTGCGAGTTGCATTGGGGATTATTTGTGTTGAACTGGCATCACAGCCAGCATTAAAAGTTTCGTCTAATGTGAGTTTGAAGGTCGAAGAAGTTCCGTTTGCGTAGCCGGAATCCCAATTTGCAGCCAGTTTTTGTTCTACGTTTTTGAAGTTTTGGTCACCAAAGGTCAAGAAGAGGTGTTCGTCGGCGCCCCCCCCAAGTGTGTTGTCGAAGTGAATTGAAGTTGAGTTTTTTTTTGTTGGAACGTCCTTTTCTGCCCGAGGAGAGGATGCTGCGATTACCCAGGGTCGTTAGTGTGAAGTGTGTTCTTTAAAATTGTAATTTTCGTGTACCTACCGTGTTAGATACCTTTTATTTGGATTACAATTCCCGGATAAGTAATGTAAGTAGTTAAGTCTTAATTTTAGTCTTTGTAATAATTGTTAGTGTGTTTGTACCTAGGGAATGCAATACCGGGATCGCGGGATCTCGAAATACCGGGATCCCGCAGTCTTTCTTGCGGGATTAATCCCGTACCTACGTAAATGGACCGAGATCCCGCGGGATTGCAGAATTTATCGACCAAGCTTACCATCATACATTAGCAACTCCAACTCTACGAATTTGATTATTTCGCACATTTTTGTTGTTGCAGTTCATGTAATAATTACACGCAAACCTGTATATGTTATTAACTTTGTTAAACAACGAGTGAGTACGCAAATCGGACTTATTTTGCTACTGTTTTAAAACGCAGGAAGTGTTCTTGTAGACAATATGTCGGACTCGTCGATTGCTTATAAAAGAATTTAGTAGTAAAGTGACTGTATGGAAATATTGCAGCGAATATTCTAGAAATCCACCGGCGACAAGAAATGACGGCAAGTGTGATGCATTCTTTCCGCGAAATAGAATGTGTTTTCTTGAGAATATTCCGTTAACTGCACAAAATTGCTTGGTTCCGAATGTTTTTAAAATCTTGCGGGATCCCGCAAATACCGGGCCCCGCGGGATTACTATTTAATGATCCCGCAAATACCGGGATCTAAATTTGCTGCGGGATTGCATTACCTATTTGTACCATTTTCCTTGTGTGTGTTAGAATTAAATCGCACTTTTGTATTTGTCACATTAATTTTCCGTATGTTTCATTCTAACGACTCCATTTCTAATTTACCTGTGTTTTCAGTGGATGCTTCCCGAGGTCCATTTTAATTGTTTAAAATGTTGAAGTTCGGTAGCGTAGGTATTTGGTCTAACCCAAGGATACTAGTATCCTTGGGTCTGACCCACTATCTGTTAAGCGCGGTTTAGACGCTACGATAAATTGTAACAATTTATCGTAACGATCGAATCGTTACGATTTATCGTTGCGTGTGAACAGAGGATTGTAGCGATTTATTGGAATTGGATTGGATGGTTGATGGCGGCCGGCTTCAATCTCTGCGAATCGTAGCGATAAATTGGAACGTGTAAACAATAACAGCGATTTATCGCTACGATTTGTGACAAATTTTGCCGACGTGAACCATTTTTGTATTTGGACTGTCTCTAGTGCACACGTTTTACATTTGGCGAGTGGCGATCAAGTTTGGCCACCCAAAAAAAAATATTTAGCGACACATGACTACTCATAAATCATAATCGAGATTAAGAGTCTATTGTAAGCAAGCAATGTAAGCAATAAAATGCGAGTATAGTTTATATTAGTGGACAGAACCAAAAGACAAGTTGAAAAGTAAAAAAATAAAAACTGTATTAAACCGTGATCGACAATGAGATTGGAACAAGAAATCGTTACATGTGAACAGTACGCACTCTTTCGATTTATTGAACGATAAATTGGACAATCAGATCGTTGCGATTTATCGAAGCCAAGATCGTAGCGTCTAAACCGCGCTTTAGAAGTTAGCAGGTTAACTGTGATGTAACACACCTAATACAAGCAGGCGGCTCTGATTTTGGATGACAGTTCGAATTATGTCAAACATATAAAAACACGCGTTTTCCGTTTTCTTAAATAATAAATAGTCCAGTCAAATTAGCGCAATTTTGGACAAATAAAAACATTAATTGGTAAAGATCTGAATTTTGGTACCTATACACATTTATTGAACATACTAAAAGTCCCTGTCAAAATCTGTTGCGCTCGAGACGCCATCTTGGAAAAACGATACACTTTTCCAGTTTTTAGCGCATTTCCACAAAAATAAAAAAAAATGCGCTATTGTGGCCACTTTGTCCGTCCGTCCGTCCGTCCGCTCGTTTTGCGACGCTACTAGTTCTTTATTTTAAGAGCTATTGTTCTACTTTTTTCGCTATTTGGTTCGTTATGGTGTCGAGTCTTGTACCAAGGAAGGAATTTTTTCTGTACCGCTTACAAAAAAAGTTATTGTAAAAAAAACAAAAAAACGTTTTTTACATGTTCCATAATTTTACACTTTTGCCGTTTATTAACGATCCTAGAGATCGTTTATAATTTTGCATTGCTATCTGTCGCCTGCCGGTTGGTCTGTCCGTCTGTTCCTTTGTCTGTCTGTCCATCTATCTGTCCGTGTGAACGATAACTTTGTTTAGAAATGTTCGATCGCTTTTACATCTCCGTTAGTTATGAACTGAATTGCATGAAATTCAATATGGGTATAGCTTTAGCCATATAATACGCAATGCCAAAAGTTGAATCGAATCGATTCAAAATTCACAGTGCCCTTTTCGCATCTCGACCATTTATAAACCGAATTGCAAACTTTTTTACTTATAAAAGTATTTGAATGAAATTTGATACATAGGCACTTGGAATAAAGGAAAATCAAACGCCAATTTCAAAATTTGGTTTTGCGCATGCGCAGTGCCAACTTTTTTATTTATGGAAGAATTTAAACGAAATTTGATACATAGGCACTTGGGATAAAGGAAAATCAAACGCCAATTTCAAAATTTGGTTTTGCGCATGCGCAGTGCCAACTTTTTTATTTATGGAAGAATTTAAACGAAATTTGATACATAGGCACTTGGGATAAAGGAAAATCAAACGCCAATTTCAAAATTTGGTTTTGCGCATGCGCAGTGCCAACTTTTTTATTTATGGAAGAATTTAAACGAAATTTGATACATAGGCACTTGGGATAAAGGAAAATCAAACGCCAATTTCAAAATTTTATTTTGCGCATGCGGAGTGCCAACTTTTTTAATCTATGGAACCATTTAAGTGAAATTTGATACTTAGGCGCTTGGAACAAAGGAAAATCTAACATTAGTTTTAAAATTTAGGTTTGCGCATGCGCATTTCCAACTTTCTTATTTAGAAAAGCATTGAAATGAAATTCTTCTCATAAACTGAAATTGAAGTAGCACGTCAAAAATGGATTGCCCATGTGCAACGCTATCTTTTATATTTGTGGCCGGATTTTTACGATTTTAACAGAAGTTGCATCTTACAAATGGGAAATGAATGCAAGTGGAAATGCGCTTTATGTAAATCGTTTACGATTACTTTGTAACTTGTTTGCCCATGTCTCTGTAATTATTACTGACACGAAGAAATAGTTTACATGAAAAATATAATTTACTAAATTCCCTATAAAAAAGAGTATTTACATTTTTTTGGATCTCCAGTACTTTAGCTGTAATCTCACGTTGAATACGTCAAAACGCGTTTAGGCCCCGTATCGTAGTTATAGAAGGAGGCCGTCCTTTTTATGACTACACCGATAGCTGTAACAGCACCAAAAAATGAACAGAATCGTCGTGCGATAAAGCATTCTAGCAATGACATAATGTTTGATGATATGATACATCATGTTTTTTTTCAAAAAGGTAAGCGAAAATGTGTAAAAGTGTTGGAGCAACGAAATGATTTCTGAAGCTGAAGAACGCCCTTATCTGCATAAGTATAACGTGCCTGCTAGTGAGAGATATTAAAACCGACATCGTTATCAGACCTTCAGAAATACCTTGACCCTGTTCGGACACTGAAGGCTCCCAGTCCACACTCAGTGCTCACATTGAAGATGAAAGTTCTATTGAGAGAGAGTTTTATGAGAAACCTTATATTAAACGTGTCTCATACGAAGCTTGAGTGCGACGGCTTCGCATATATAAGAAATACTGGTAGAATTTTCAATGAATTTAATGATTTGTAAAAAGTTGTAAAAAAATATCTGCGCGACTGTTTCGATAGCTCAGGATACTTGATTCCCTATTCGATGTCGGATTATAGCTAAAGTATTGCAAAAAAATGTTAATATGCTTTTTTATGGGGAATTTAATAAACTATATTTTTTATCTGAATATTTTTCCGTATCAATAATTGTTGCCGATATATAGGCAAGAAACTGAAGAAGTGCTCCTTTTTTCCAGGATGGCGCCTCGAGCGCAACAGATTTTGACGGGGACTTTTAGTATGTCCAATAGGGAACACTAATGAACATGTGTACCAAAATTCAGATCTTTACCGATTAATGTTTTTATTTTTTCTTATTTGACTGGACAAAAAGTATTCTAATAAACTGTAATTACTCTTGACTTGTTCTACGGATATTTCAAACTGAGAGCAGAGTCCCTCTGTGCTAGGGGGAAGTTTTGTTCCGTGATAATAAATAAAGGTGAAGAGCTAATAGCTAGGTTTTTATTTTGGTGTTGTGTGTACGGTCTTTTTGGCTTGCGGATCAGTGCACACAGCACTACTATGCTGTCTACACGGGCAGATCTCACTGCATCATTAAATATTTGTAGCAGATAGGTATCAAAACTGTTCAGCTTCAGATGAGCTTTGGACAGGGACCCGGACTGAAACTGAAATAGAAATCGGTGTAACGTTATGACGTTCACTGTTAGATGTCACTGCATGTTTCAGGCTGGCTAAATTAAAAAAAAACGTTTAAAATATTACCAACATTTATTATCAAAATCGGACATGCGCTTGTAATCGTACGCCTTGAGCGGATAGTACATGTTTTCAAAATTGGTTACGTTACAAAAATTAAAGTTATACCAATAGGAAGTTTGATTGATTTGGAAAAAAAAGGTCTTTAGTACCGTTAGTACGGAATATGTTCAGTTAGGTGTCAGAAACAACATTTTAAAAATCCCACTCCCCAGACCCTGTGCTAAAGACTCCAGCCACCCCCCCCCCCCCCAGAAACCGTGTTTTCGCCCTTTTTGGCTGATATCTCGCGATCTATGGGGTCTAGATGAAATATTTTTTGCTGAAAATATTTTCGTGTTTTTTGCGATTTTTTGCCAATATATCGTGACCTTTGGGGCTAGATGAAATATTTTTAGCTGAAAATGCTCCTCGTGAAATTTGTTACAAGGCAGATACTCAGAAGTTAGCCTAGGTGTGCCTCTTAGCTTAGAAAATTCCGAGGAAAATTCATAAAAGGAGGCGAATATCATAAATGTTCGTGTTTTTTTGCGTTTTTTTTTGCAAATATATCGCAACCTATGGGGCTAGATGAAATGTGTTTAGCTGAAAATGCTCTGCGTGAAATTTCATACGAGGTAGGTAACTAAAGAGTTGACGTAAAGTCACAATTAAATAAATTTTGATTGCTCGCTATATGATGGCGTGATTTAGATATTCTCAGATGAACTGAAACTGGAACTGGAACTGATATTTTGTGTTTGTTTGATGTCGGTTTCTTTTATTCAATCACTAGTTTAGACATTAGTTCACTAAGCTCCAGATGGTTTCGTTGGTTAACAACGTGCAATAGATCTTTGTTTCTATTGGCTATTTCTTAATGATTTTTTGATAGTGAACTAATGGTAATGACTGTATAAACCCACGGAGAGGGTGGTTAGATATGTTTAATTTGCTTATTCTCTGCATTACCCAATATTTCTATAAGTAAGAGATAATTCTAGGTTGTACCACTGTTTAAATAAGTATTTAATCGTTGTAGCTTGTACCAAAGAGTAACTATTACTCTTTGGTTGTACTATGTCTAAATTGAGAGGGAGTATATTGTAGTTATGCAATTTGGACTACATATAATGTAAGTTGTCATGGGAATTTAAAAGTTTCAGAAAAATAAAAAATATCTGTGAATCGTGTTGTAATTTTCAATTAAAAAATTACTTCTCAAATATTTGTATATTATCAATCACAAACGGCACTTCCCAAATAACCATCACATTTAACACACTACTAATCAAGTTCTAGGCCACGGAGCCCAAAAAATTCAAGAATTGTATACTGATTTTTGTATTACCCAGCCAGACCGACCAAAATTGTTTCCTTGGCATTTTAATAGGCCGCAGGCATTACGACGCAGACATTGGGACGCAGGCATTAGGATGTTGACATTAGGACACAGACACTGGGACGCGGACATTAGGGCACAGATCCTAGGCTAGATAGGACTAGATGTTAGAGCGCATATACACAGATGAAATAAGTAAAATAACATTGGTTTAATTTAGTTATACCTTTTCTTTTATTGTCCTACTTGCGACCTAATTTCTGCTTTGTAAGGTGATCTACATGATGCTTGCGTTCTCAATGCCCGCGCGTCCAAATGTCTGCGTCCTAATGTCTTGCGGCCCAATGCCATAACGCGGGTTTATATAAGTATTCGAAACAGAAGTATATGTACTTGTACTGTAAGTAGGTAAGTCACGGTTTATTAAAAGAATTGATGTTTACATAAAGGACATTTTAGTGACGTTTTTAAGCAATTCTTAAGACAGACCGGATGGAAGAAATGGTTGCAAGATGTTACTTTCGCTTCCTCAATAGCACTTAAGCAGATTGGGCACACATCATCTCGCTGCTGAATATCCTCCTCCGTTGCCATTTTAAAAGAATCGTAAATTCGTGTTTGAATAATTAATCTCTTTACGTAATTGCAATATATATCCTTTAACGGGAGATGTATCAAAAAGTAAGAAGCAAATAACGAAAAATGAACGTATTTTCTAAACGATGCAACTATACTTAGTGTTATTGAGAGCAGCAAAGCGTACGATTTTAAGACAATTGGAACGTATAAATGTTCCATTGCCTCTAAAGAAGACAATTTAAAGTAAGCCGCAAAATCAATAAATATCTCCTTGAAAAGATAGGATGTGCACATATAGTAGGAAACTGAAAGGAATGTATGCACAAAGTTGAAATGGAACATCCTTCTTTCATCGTTTATAAAAATGACAAGCATGACCATTCTGAACAATTCCATTGTTAGTTTGCCATAGCGGGGTAACCATCCTTCAGTGATATTGCTTTGGCGTTCGCTAGTGCTGTTGATCATGTTCCTCCCACGAGTAAGGAGAAGCCCCAGCATTGAGCATATTAGTAAATTTAAAACTCCTGATATTTTCTTTTCGGTAAAAAGAGCGTCGAGCATTGTTACGAATGTAATCTAAAACCACTGGAGAGATTATGAGTGCAAATAGGTTTAGTTCTCACTTGGCAGCACATGCTGAACAGCACATTTGTTCTGATCAACAAAAGATCAATTTCGTGCATTTCGTAACACAACTCTTTAAGTTGATTTAGGGTACCGTTAAATATTTGGATCCATACAGCTACAAAATATGAACGTAAAGATTACTTAGATATTCTTCTACCACTCACCCCTGGTAGTATTTGTTATTCGACTGCATGTAGAAGTAATACATTGCGTTACAGCTGATATATTTTGAAAAATAGTTGCCATTACTACATAGAATTTTCAAGGTTTGTCTAAATGACATATGTGTGACAATTCCTTGTGTAGCTACAGTGGTTTGACATTTTGTTAGTTATTCTTATTTACCTACATAAAAGTCAGGAAAATGATTTTGTCAATTTAGTGCCAATTATAATAGTATATTAAGATACAAGTGTATAATCATGTCTTTAAAGCACGCCCAACGATCACGATAAGAGGTCGAGGAGGAGGACTATGGTTGGTAGAAATTAATTCCTTTCGTTGAGACCTTTCATTAGAGTACCATGAGAGATAAAACTAGTTCCACTCCCCCTCCACCCCGTACTTTGATCAGAGGACAGAAAGAAGGGTGCGGTAGAAAACGGTTCTTTTCGTTGAGACCTTTAATTAGAATACAAAGAGATAAATTTAAAATTTTACCCCCCCCCCCCCCCCCCCCCCCCCCCCGGGTTCCTTTCGTTGAGACCTTAATTAGAATACCATGAAGGGTAGAGCATATGTTAACCCCCCCCCCCCCATTTCCTTAAGTTTAACTTTGCACCACTAAAGGCATGCGTGCAAAATGAGAGGCTTGGTCGAAGGCTGAAGAATCTTAATCTTAAGAATAAAAAGATTTTTAAGAATCCTAAGATCCGAAACCATATGAATACTCTAAAGAAACGTAGAATCCGAAGAATAGGTATGCACAACCTATTCTTTGACACGTCACTTCAGTTTGATTTTATAAGAAGCATCTTTTAGCATATAGAATTTATAAGCACAATAAACGACAAAAGTGGAAAATTATGGTACATAAAAAAATGCATTGATTACTATAACTTTTTTAGTAATAAACGCAGAAAAAAAACTCCTTCCTTAGTGCAAACTTCGACACCATAAAGAACCAAAAAGCGAAAAAAGTACAACAAAGATATAGTAGCGGCACAGCCGTAGGGGTGGACAGGAGGACGGACAAAGTGGCCACAATAGCGCATTTTTTTAAACTTTATTATACATAGAACAGAAGATTTTTATATAGAGAGAAAAGCATTGTTTAAAATTTAAACAATGATAGAAGTTATAGATAACTATGTTTGTGGTATACCCTGTCTCTGTAGTCTGTACTATTCCAAATAAATGAACGTGATTAGTGAAACTGTTTAAAAATCGACACAACACACAAAACATAACATAAGAACTATAGTTCTAAAAAATTAGTTACAGTCTAAAAACTTCCAAATTAATAAACAAACGAGCAATCGAGGTTACAATTCGTTGAAAACCATTTCTTTTAACTTTAACCGATGGACTTTCCCAGATGGAGTCATAGGAAAATTCTCAACAAATTTTACACCCGCTCTTAGATGAAAAGGGTCATCTAATCTGTCTTCGACATACTTTTGAATTTCCTCGCCAGTTACATTTGGAAGGCCAGGTTTTAATACTACTAAAGCCATAGCATGATGATTGTCGATATAATGTGGTATTCCGATTACTACAGATTTTAACACTGCAGGATGGGTGTTGATAACGTTTTCTATCGAAGCTGGAGTAATGTGTTTCACGCGATATGGGAACATTTCTTTCAGACGATCAATCACGTAAAAGCAATAATCTTCGTCATAGTAGCCATAATCGCCAGTTTTTAACCAACCGTCAGAATCCCAAATGCCACTTGAATCTAAATTATAATAGCCACCAAGTTGCATTTGGGATTTTACGCGAATTTCCCCTTTTTGGTTCGGTCCAAGCACTTTATCTGTATCTGGATCTACCACCTACAGTAAACATTAATATAAGAATATTTTAGGGCACGAATTCACCTTGTAGCAAGTTCCTCGCATTGGTAATCCGCACGATCCCTTTTTGGTATGTAAAAAGTGTACGTGTTTTGCTTTGGCAAGGTCAAAATATGTAAGAGGGGAAAAAACCTCACTCTCCCCATACATTTGTGAAACAAACACGTTCGGAAAGGTCTCCCTTATCTCCTCTAACTGTTCTTCGTATATTGTGGTACCGGCCACCAATATACTTTTCAAGCTCCTCAAATCTACGTTCTTAGGTTTTGGAGTACGACACAATGCTAACGAACTGGTTATATCAAGTATTACCCAAGTTGCCTAAAGAAGAAAGCTCCTATAGTTAATTCGTAGGATCTTCACCGGATTACCATGTAACTGAACATATCCCATGGGTTGGTAATATCGAATCGAGGAACCAATAACCTTGCACCTTTAGTATAAATCGACTGGTGCAAGTAAAACACAAATACGTTCCAATAAGGGATGTAATTAGTATATATCAGCTCATTTCGGAAGTCTTGACCTCTAAAAAGTTACGAGTACCTTCCTATACTTTTCACCGGTGGATATTAATAACTAAGTACCTACCTTATAAGTTCGGCTGCTTTCAAAATGGAATAGTGAGTGTGACAAATTCCCTTTGGTAACCCTGTGGTTCCACTGCTGAACCAAATTAAGGCAACGTCTTTCAGGTCGTGCACTTCAACAGGTTTGAACAATGATTCGTTGAGTTTGGGTTGAATTAGATCACTGAATGCTACGTGGGTATCAGTAGGCCCGAAAACTACCATTGTAGTATTGGCGCCGACTTCTTTTATAACATTCTCTATAAGAGTCACCGATTCATGTCCCACAAATATCACCTTTGGCATCACTTGGCGGAATAGGTGGACTGATTCGGCAAGTGAAAAACTTGGATTTAAAGCTGCTACCTTTGCCCCAGTAAAATACGCTGATATGTGAGCGACGCAACTGTTTAAGTGACCATTACTGCATAGCGATACCACGTCGCCGTATTGCAATCCAATTTCTGTTAACCAGATGGACGTCCGTACGCATTTTTTCAAAAGCGAACCAAATGTATCTTTTTCTTTTGTAAATCCATCGACTTGAGCTAAAAGATCTTTATTTTTCAGCATTTGATCAAAATATGCACAACCCACTCCTCTAGAGTCGGGTTCGTCATCGAGACCTTCAGTATATATGATATTGTTCTCGTAACGAATTTCATCTGAAAATTGTGTTAATTACAAAGCAAATCATGAGGTTTATTTACCTTCGAAGTTCTCCATTTTCACAAGAGCTTAAGTCCAAGCGTACCGAATTTAGGGGGACGTATTTTATACCATACGCACTTATCTTTAGTACTTTGAACTTACTATACCGAATTATAGCACTAAAAGTTTTCTTGATTGGATCTTCACTAGGTACGCCATAAATGCAAGCATAAATCGCAGTAAAAATGCAAATCCTTGAAAATTTTAATTATACCTATATGTAACAAATTATCAAGTTATTATCGCTTTCGTTGGCCGTTGCCATGGAATATCACTATCAATAATTATTTTTTCTTTTGAGGGCTATTTTAGGACCCACGCTTGTTTACTGATGAAAGTTACTTTTGTAAACTGGAAGATTTTTATTTTTCAAACAATTGTTGTGTAGTATGAAGCATGTCGATCAGACAGTGTTGTGGCAGATGCTTTTATTCGACATTTATACCAAATTGTATCTAGATACATTTTAGAAACATAGGTACATTTGTTTTACTGTATCTAGATATAGATACTTATATTTTGTATCTAAAATCTAGATAACATTATAGTCGCAATCCATGCAACTTTCTGCATAATAAGCCTAATTATAATTATAACTTGCAGATGTGCGAGAACTTTACATTGGAATTAACAAAACAATTGCGCACTATTAAGTAAGTATATGTACTAAGGACCGTATCAACAGTATTGCAGACAACATTTGGCCAACAAGGCTTTTTTTAATAATTGGTACCTGCTGAACACGAATATCGATGTTGGCACCTCGAAATCTGAACAGGAAGTCCAAAATTCAAGATGGCAGCCAATTTTGGAAAATGTTTATCTTTTCACTCATGCGACCGATTTTTTCGATCTAAAAACGAATTATAATGTTATTCCTGACGTACGTCACGATAATAATAGTTAACTATTGTTTTAACAATAACCTAATAGTTTTTTAGCGGCAGGATGCGTAAAATGAAGAATTACGAAATTCCTACCTCTCTTTGCCAAAAGGAGAACTTGCAAAACGATTTCTAGTAATCCTGACATATATAAGTATTCCCGATATGCGTTTATATTGCATAATTCTGCTTATAAAGTTTTGATAACTACATTCTTTCGAATTTTACGTTACTTTTTAAATGAAAAAAATGAAGGAGTTCAACTAAACTGCGGTGTTTCGGAAGATTCTTATTTTGCTAGGTATTAGCATAATATGGTATTAGTCACCGCTACTCAGGATATATTATTATTATTATTGAAGTATGAAAGCATATAGAAAAGTCAATACAAATTTGTTAACACCTTATTCTCATGGTGTTAGGTCAATCGTCTTCTTGAGAATTAGGTAGTACATCTACTTACAAATCAATTGATCCTTGCGACATTTTTACAAAGTTTTGACGAGCAATCCTATTTACAACGACAAAGGACGATATCTAGAGCAGCCTTCGGGCTAAATCTAACGTTGTGAGAATGAGAATGTAGCAATTTTTAATTCTTTCTCCAGGAAATCAAGGATAGATATGCTAGTCTGAGCGACATTTTAGAGTTTAAGGTCAAAGATGTACCTGTTGAGATTTACACCTGATATGCCGTAATTATGGAAATGGATGAAGTACTAGAGAAGATTAGATGGAATCCCTAGAGAATGGAGTTCAGAATTGTTAGATCTAAAGCTTCGCAGTTCCTGAAACCTGGCAATGCTTCTTCACTCTGGGAAGTCCTACTTGGGTAATCGAGATGGGGCCAGAGACGTGCGCATTCTTCCAAACGGACGCCTGGTAGCAACTTCTCCCTACCGAACTAAGTGTGACGCGCACCGTCCGTGGAAACTATGGTATCAGCTACCTAAAGAGTAGAAAAGACGCCACCTAAAATATGCGAGTCAAGTCGATACCCTGAACAAGTGAAGTTTTATGTACCTAGTTATGATACCAACCTTGTATAGCTTTGTCACGAAGATTTTTGCAAAAGATATATCTTCTCGTTCAGGGGTATGGTGCCCAGCGTGAACAGTAAAGAAGAGCGCTTTTGAAATACTCTCTGGTTCAAATCCGGGTTCGGATATAGATATTTGTAAATGTCTAGTGGGTTGGGTTGATAGACCAGCCTTGCCTGAAACCCCCTTACTTAAAAAGAAAGGTCAAAAATAAATAAATAAATAAAAATAAATGCATCCAAGCGTGGCAATTCACAACTGACATCACTATTCCTGTGATAGCGTAAAATGACAGGACATTCGTTACTACTCCCTTTGACCAGTTCCTCTGCACATCATTATGGATAGGAACAAAGGCTATCTTTCTTGTAAGTATCGGTTAGCAACCAAACTTAGTTTGCCAGTATTTTCTCGAGGCGATGAAGAAGCAATAGAAACACATCTGTACTTATCTGTAGCGTTATCTTAGTATCCGCTTCCTTGTGAAAAGATTCTAAGGAGGAAATCTGTGTCGTCTGACGGTTACAGAAAACCTTTCTTTCATTACTGAAGCGGGAAGCCTCCGGCAATCACCAGTACGCCTTCAAATGAGGCGTCTTCAAGGTGATGCGACAATAACTCGTTTCTTTTGTTTTCCTCTAATGAAAGGAAATTCTTCCAAATGTGAGGTAATTTAACTTCGCGGATATCTATCACACGACGCACAGGAACCAAAATGCTTGCCAAAACAGAAATAATTTAATAATTACACGATATGAAGAAATTTAAACCGTAGCCATGTATTATGAAAAAAAGGTTTCCCCTTTTACCCACTTTGACGTTAGAAAAACTATGGAATCATTGTTTAAACATTTGTTCACTATTATTATCGTGCCGTACCTCCGTCAGGAATAACATTATAATCCGATTTAGATCGAAAAAATCGGTCGCATGAGTGAAAAGATCAACATTTTCGGAAATTAGCCACCATCTTGAATTCTGCGTTTCCTGTTCAGATTTCGAGGTGCCAACATTGACATTCGTGTTCAGCAGGTCCAAATTAGTAAAAAACGCCTATTTGGCCAAATGTTGTCTGAAATGCCCCTAGAACCTGTTAAAACGCTGCTTTTTATAAAAGTGAACCAGTCTATTAAACCTACCGATTGCGGCCGAGTGCGGTATAGAATCATCATCTTGATCCGACACCGGCGTGTCTTTTCTGCTTGAACGAAACTATATATTATATAGTAACTTCATATCCATATACAAAACATAAGCATTTCCAATGCTAAAAGAAGTCTAGAAGGTCCTGGAATTGAGTTTTACAAAAATTGACATGTAAATGACAGTTTGAGATTTTGTAAAAAGCATCAGGGACGTAACAAGTCACGTGCGGGCTCTGGTGCAACACCAAATATACGGGTCCCACGGCATCATTAAAAAAAGTCAACTCTAACATACGAGTATAGTACTAGGGATCGATCGATACCGATATTAATATCGGCCACGTGATCGATATGGACGTATATCGGCTGCCAATGGCTGATACATTCATATAATCGTGATAAAAAAAGGACCATCTTCTTCGTCATGAACATTTGACAAAATACCGTCAACTAAATGTTTTTTTCTAACGTTTCTAACGAAAGAACATGAAGGTAACAAAATACCTATGTATGCAACAATAACCAAATTCTTTAAAAAATCCTTTTCTACCTATACAAGTGGAGCGAAATCGGGCAAAAAAGTCGTCTAGAAATGGGAAAAAAATTTTTGAAGGTATAACAAGATCAGACCTATTAGAATGTATAGATATTGTAATTCTGCATCCGAAATGGTGTTTTACGACATTTTCCGGTGGTCATGACATTTTTTATAGTCAAAAAACCACTCAAAAGTGCTTTAATAAAAATTAATGTTTTTAGAGATTTACACCGGGATATCTCGGCTCCCGCACGAGATAGTGTTATAATTGTTTCAGTTCTATAATGCCAAATAGTAAGTGCTTCTAACTATGCCTATTACATCGAAAACATGATATAACTACATTATGATAATTGTCATCAAAGTCGATAAATCGATTATTGAGAAGCGTAAACTTCACTCTGCGAGAAACTTTTTTATTATTTGAGGAATCTCTATACATGTACGTACGAATTGTAGCTGATAGTCACCAAAAGTTTTTGGTGAAAGAATTTTAGTGATAGGTCTTACCGTTTTCGAATAAATGATATTTCTATATGCAGCTCGTGCGCGTTCGCGGTCCGCCTAGCAGCGCACTTGCTTGGCTGCTATCGGCGCCGGCTTGTCACCTGTAGTGGAGCGAAATCATTCCAAAAACTATAATGCCAAATGGTAAGCGCAGCTGTTCTGCATATTATATTGAAAACATAATGTAACTACATTATCAGAAAAAATCTGAAAGTCGATAAATCAATTGTGCTTGTGCAACATAAACTTCACTCTGCGGGAAATTTTTTTAAATGTTTGTTGGACAGGTATCCAAATATTACTTTACATGATCATCTGTCGAGTGTTGGTTTGCATTGTTTGCTGCGGTACACGTTTAATTGGTAAAGGTATGTGTTACGGTGAAAGTAATTATACCTACCATTGTGATAAATTTAGGGCGCATTTCCTTTTTAAACTTTAGGGGAAGGGAAACTACTGCCATTTAGGAAACCAAGAAGATATTGAATCTTAAAAAAAATCATTCTGGAGGCTGTTCAAAAACATTTTCCTACCTCAATTATCACAGTCACCGGTTATTATGAATAACTCCTGCATTAATTACTTTCACCGTAGCATGTGCATCTAGAATTTTATTGAATGAAATTTTGAACCGCCTGCCTGTTGGGAATTCATGCTCAAACGGGTTGTGACACAACAAATGCCCCTCTTCAAAATACGCGAGAAAATTGCGGTTGATACCCACATTAGTTGAACTGCTACAAAAAGGAGCCTTAGAATTAGCAATACGATATATATTCGTAGCTACTATACTGGTTTACCGGAATGAAAATAATAATATTACAACATTGAATTAGGTACCTAAGATTGCATTTAGCAAAAACAACTAATAAACAATCGTCGGAACTTCCGTTAATTAATGGTGCTTTCTGACATAATTTCTTACAGTATTCTTGTAAACTTTCGATTTAGGTAGACTAAATGTCGGTGTCAACAATACACTCAGTAAAATTCTAGATGCATATACCAATTAAATGTGTGGTATCATAGCAAACAATGTAAACCAACACTCGACAGATGATCCATGTAAAGTAATATTTGGATACCTGTCCATCTTACTGTGCTCACAGAAACTGTAACACTAGACTGCCAACAAAAATTTAAAAAAATTTCCCGCAGAGTGAAGTTTATGTTGCACAATTGATTTATCGACTCAGATTTTTTCTGATAATGTAGTTACATTATGTTTTCAATATAATATGCAGAACAGCTGCGCTTACCATTTGGCATTATAGTTTTTGGAATGATT